AACATGATGCAAACAGAAAATAACTAATTAAAAATTAATCTCCTTGTTTTAGGCCCCTAAGAGAATTACTTAATTTATAAACTAACCCTTGTTACATACATAAATGTGGGATTTTCTTTAATTTGAAATGAATTTTGTGTTATATCAGTGAAATTTTAACTGATATCAATCTCATGTTTTGTTTTAAAAGTAGTTTCAACATTAATTATTAACAATCCTAAATGTTCTTGTCTAAAATGGCTAGCCTTCTGAAATCAGAGAATCTTCAAAAATTACAATTAATATTAACCAAACTCATTCTTTATAAAAGGTACCTGTTATGTAGCTTGGATACTTTTTTTGCAAATATAGTTGAATAGTGCCTTATGCAAAAGGTGGTATATGATAATTTACAATCTTTAGTGCTATGTCATCGAAATACACTTTGGCTACCAGAGTAATATAAAAAACAAAAATGCCCTGGTTCTTTTTCTTCCCTTTGCAGTTATTGGACCACAACCAATTTTCATTTTGTAGTTTTAAGATAAGCCATTTAACACTTACTACATTTTGATATTTAATTCCTCATATATCTCTGTTTGGTAAAGTGTCATCGATATATAATTTTTATTGTGCAAATAAAGCATGGCAAATACTATCTATTTAGCTCAAAATTCACATTTGTAAAAGTGGCACTTATGATGTTTTGCATATGGCACATTTCAGTTGTCTATCTAAGTCATATACCTAATATATTTGTATTTTTGAATCAAGAAATATTCAATAGAAGTAGTGTACCAATAGGAAGCTTCTATAAAGTAATTTTGTTTGGTATGTTGTGTTTTTTAATTGTTCTTAATGGTCATGTATTAAATATAGTTTTTTGCTTTTGTCTAGTATTATCTAGTAAACTATTTGCCAATTTATTGAAATCAATACTTAAACAGGTAATCTTAATAATACAAACAGAATTACATTAATATACATTCAAAAGGTAGACAATATTAACAGTACCTAACAAAATTACATTGAAACGAAATATAAATGGTACTTAGTCAATAATAAGATATCTACAGATAAGTCACTGATATGTATACATTTAAAAAAAAAATATCAAACATTCAGATCTAAATTATATCATGTATTCAATCTTTATTATTTGTCCCAGTATGAGTATCAAAAGTATTTTCAACTAAACTTCTCATTTTGATACAAGTGTATGGAATTAGAACTGCAACAATTATTTTAATTAATTATTAAATTTATAATATGTATGTTAAAGATTATTTAAAAACTACATATGAAACTTATTATCAAAACAAATAATTATTAGTGGAATAGTAGTTTGTGCAAAAGGAGTGGATATGATGGCCATATTGCACAAAGACGAAGCTTAAGCATGGCACCATAGGCAGAGTGCTCAATCTACAAATTATAAAAACTATTTTATGTTATTAAGATAAAATAAACAAGGAAAGAAAAAAGATTTAATTTGTTCCTATCCTAGATTTAAACTCAGGTCTTTCACATGAAAGCCAAGTGCCCTTATCTCACCTCAATCGAGATGCTTAAAATTTTTGCTCTAATACTCGTAATTAAATTAACGTCGTATAGTTTTATTAACATCAACGAATTATTTATAATTATAGAAAACAATTTCTTGTAAATTATTATTATTATTATGAATATAATCATTAAAAAGTTACTTGGAATAGGTTTTATTTATTTTTTTTACTTAAGGAAACTGATCTTTTTGTGTATTTTTATATCACATTTGTAAGAAAACATTAAGTACAGTAACATGTCTTAAATCTTCTATAATTATCTATAAGCTACATAATCTGCAAGACTCCACCAATTACATAGCTTTGTTCTTATTGTAATTGGACCTGAACAATTACTAGACCAATACTTTAATTTATAAGTAAGCAGTTGTTTTCTTGTTATAGCCATGTTTAATTTATTTAAACAAAAGAAAGCCTTTCATTGAGAAATTTTTGGTATAACCATAAACAAATCTTGTACATAGATTCTCCCATAATAATTTGGCAATTATGTGCATAACAAAGTTCGACTTTCGTAAACAAAATTGGTCTAATAGTTGTTCATCATTGATCTATGTACAAAAAGTTAATACAATAATTGTAAGAGCTATTATTAATCAATTTCAGGCTATAATTCTGAAGGAAAGCCTCTCCTCGAGCAACATTCATGGGGTTGAGACAATTGTCAATGAATTAACAGATGTTATTTCAAATGCTCATCAACACCACAAAAAGAGCATTAAAGCACAAAAGGTGAGATATTTCAATAATTAGAAAACTGGTATCTATTTCTTTTTTAATATAATATTCTACAGATAATAATTATAAAGAGTTTCCTGGAAATAAATATACAAACCACAACTGATAAATAATTGCTTATTTTATGACATTGTTTATTTGTCTATTTAATAAAAAATTATTTTAAATTAAACTTTTATATCTGTCTCTATTTAAGAAATATTTTGAGTTCATAACATGATTGTATTAAATTTAATTTAATTTTAGTGGAATACAGTATGTCTAACTGTTCCTTTAGAAGACCTTAAAAATGCTACATCTACAACTGTTAGTAACTTATTGGCAAAAAATCAACATACTCCTGAACTAGGTGTAGCATCTGCTGTTCAGGAGAGATTATCGGATTTATTAGGGGAAAAAGTGAATGCTTCTGACAGAAAATCAATGGCAAGTGAATGGAGACGTCGTGAAACTTATTCACAATGGCCTCATATGGATTATAAGTAAGATTTTATCGTTTTTTTTTGCTTGATATTTAATTTAATAATAAAAAATACAGAAATAAATTAGTAAACAATAAAAATCAGATATGAGTAAAACGTTTTGTATAAACTTTTTCAATACATTTGAGAACTTTTAAATTCTCACTTGTTTAAATTATTTCTGACACATTTTTTTACAAAGTTTCATTAAAAATATCGATTGGCAGTTTTTCTTTTTTTTTAAGAAACAAAATCAAAACAATGAAAGTGGAATCCCCAATAAATTAGTTTTCGTTCTTCTGGTCCACTTTTATCATGGTTTGCAAACTTGTCTTTGTCACTTCATGATTTATTTAAACAAAAATACATTGTAAATACTGTGATATTTATTTAATTTAGTACTGAACTTTAGCCACAAAGACCCTATCCATTAGAGACTTCATGCAATGTTAGTGCCACCTTGTGTTTGAAGTGGTAAAGGGTGTGCATTTCATTCTCTCAGTTGGAAGTGGGCCGCTATAGGCTTTCCTACCCTCTTCAGATGCACTGCAGCAATCAGATACTTGGGAGATGAGGTGGAAGGAATAGTGGTAGGTATCTGAGAGGATGTTACTGGCCCAGCATTTGCTCTGAAAGAAGTCCCCGACTTCTGTCCCTGCTCTGTAACAATAGTTTTCTATTAATCCTACCAGGAAATTGGTTTTATTTTAAAAGGTCCAATCCCAGAAGAAAAACGGGTTTGGTGTGGCGAGTTGATTTTGTATTTTATTACAAAATTACTTAATAAATGAATATTTTGGGTATATCATAATTTTATTAACACTAATGTAACATATTTTATAAATAATGTCTAATACCAAATGTAATTTAGGCATTGTATTATAAGGTGAATCATTTTACTATTCACAAATATTTTTCTTCTAAATTCACACTTTCTTACTGATAATTTGGGGATCTAGATAAATTCATTATTGATTAGTTGCACCTATTTATCTTTTTTCTTTATTTCGAAAAAGGAAATAGAAAATTCACAATTTTACAAATAACTTAAAATAAACTATGAACACAAACCACAAGCCAATAACAAAATCAAGATTAGACAGAAAAATCCATAAATAAATAAAAGGAATAACAAAAAATATAATTAAACATGACATTTTTTGTTAATTTTCACCAGTACTGCCATCTAGGTTTATTTTCAGTTTTGAACTTGATCATTTACATGGAATCTTTATGTGCTTTAGCCAATTAATAAATAAATTCAAGCATAAACTAAAAAAATAGTTGATGTTAAAAACAAATAACTAATCACATACTTTGAAGGCATTTTTGTTTCAACTGAGACAATGAAAATTCAGTAAAATCAGTTTAGCTATTTTGTATGTGAATGTGATTTGTATTCTTTCAGATGGGCTCTTCCAGATCAAATGGCCCAAGCAGGTTTCTACCACCAACCAAATTCTTCAGGCGATGATCGTGCAATGTGTTTCACATGTTCAGTTTGCCTTGTGTGCTGGGAACACACTGACGAACCATGTAGTGAACACGAGCGTCACTCTCCAAACTGTCCCTTCGTCATTGGCGAATATACACAAAACGTTCCACTATCAGTTACGTATGCCACCTGTCCAGCTGTAGATGCAAGGTACAATGGAGATAACATTAAAGTTTTGGGACGTAGTACCGTTGTTAATTATGTACCAACAGCGAATGCTGATGCATTTATATCCATTTTTGATGTCAGTGGAAAAGTCAAAAGAGCTTATTGCTTTTACGTATCACAGTTTCATTCATTTATTTTGGATAAGTATACAGAGGATTTTGGACAGGATGGAGGATGGCCTGATTTTAGTAAGTATCCTAATTTTTATCGTTAAGAACAGTAGATTTTGATGGATTAACAGTAAGATTGTGCTCTTTTAAATATTTTAATAGAAGTTGTTAATCTCTATTAATCAGATTGTTAGCATTGTGTATATTTTAGGAATCGAAATAATTTAATAACTGGGTATCATCAGAGTAAAGTTGTACTTGACTCTCCTCAAGTTCTTTTGATAGGTCAGAGGGGTGTACTAGGAATAACAATTGGCCCATGATGGTTCCTTGGAGTACACCTGATATAATGATTTTTGATTTCGAAAAATTATTCTCAACCACTTCCTTCTGAGTGCGATTCCCCAAATAGGATTTGAAAAAAAACCACAGCCACAGTATTGTAGTTTTGCATATAAAAGTGACAACTGATTAAATTTTTTTGAGGTTAAATTTGTTTTGTATTATTGAAGTGTATGTATACAGGATTATATTTCGAAAAAATTGAATATGACGTTTCCTACATATTTTTACATTTTTTGTTGGAATTCATATCAAAAAACGTTTTAATCAAAACAAATACATGTGTACATACATTTGCACCAGGGAGGCGAAGGTTTTGTTTTCAAATCAAATATTTACATATTTAATATTGCATTGTAGCTTCCTTGATAATGGAAACAATAAAATTTCTGAAAGCTTGGAATAACTCTTAAGAGTCTTCTTTTTACTTGCTGTTTACTCCAATATTCCTAGTCTATCTATACATGGTGATCCCGATAAGTGTTCACCTTCCTGCAAATTTTTTATTTGAACAAAAAACTGATCAACTATACATTTTTTGGTTGGTTTGTTGTAATTGACTAAATGATAAACTCAAATTTTTTTGTAACATGTCAAAGTGACATACAGCAACTTTTTTTTTTAGATTATATTAAGGAATTGTTGTTCTACGTACAACAATGTATATAAATAGACATCTGTTTTAAAAAGAAAAAAATAATACACCTATGAAATAAATACTCCTTAAGACATATATTTAAACAACCACTTCTTAAATATTACTTTCTAAATTATTTGTTCAAAATGACTCCCGTTGTTTTTGAAACAATGCTCTTCCCTTTTTAGAACAACTTGGGTACATATCGTATAAACAGTATCTCTGTTTAATCTTTGACACTCCATTTGGATTCTGTTTTTAAGGTCTCCTATATTTTCTAATGGTCTGCTATAAACACGCATTTTAAGATAAGGCCAAAGAGAAAAGTCGAATGGGGTCAGATCTGGCAACCTAGGACCATTGTTTCTAACCCATCAATGTGGAAAGGATATGTTTAAGTATTCTGTCACTATTCTGTGATTATATGGTGGAGCTTCATTTTGTAAAATAATATGGTGTAATACGATAGTAGTTTTAAATTATTAGAATTTTTATGATTTGCTTTTGATTATAAAATCAAATCAATTATTTGGTCATTATGAAATTTTAAATTATAAGTATGTTTATGGCATTTTTCGAGTTGTTCATTTTTCCTGATAAATAATATTGAATGTAAGGTACTTGGGCATTACAAACTAAAAAATGTTAAATTTTGGACTTAGTCATCTTCTCTTATATGCGGCAAAAATTCAAGGGGTTGTTCCTTGGACTATTCTAAGAATATTTTGTTCTTTGATGATTTTTAAAATTCCATTTTAGGAGACAACATTTTCGAGAAAACTATTTTTATTATTTTTAAAATTATTAATAGTCTAAATAAAAATAGGTACTACACTGTGTTAACCAAGAACATACAACTTTTTTAAAAATTCGTTATTTTTATTATTTTTTAACAACGTTCCAATTACCAAAAACGGCTATTTTTTCCACTTAACAAAACGGATTTTCAAAAATCAATAAAGGACAAAATACTCTAGAATAGTCCAAGGAACAACCCCTTGAATTTTTGGCCCATGTTTAAAAAACACCTTGTATACTGACGACATAAGGATCTACAACAAAATCATTTCTAGCAGTTTGCTTTTTTGCAGACTTAAATTCCGGACTAACTTTGCAAACATTTTATCAGAAGGAACTGGTATATCTGCAAATCGTTGTTGTCCCGAACAATAGACATTTAATTCTATAATGCACTTCCGCAACACTAACGATTATTTTGTAAGAGTGAAACATGTCACCTAATATTTTTAATATTGTATTTTTTTATATATTTTTTATTACTATTACCAGCCATGATCTTTTAAAATCCTAAATTATTTTAAATTTTATACGAGTATGCTGTATGTTAATGTATGTAAAATGTAGTGTATTTGATCATTTATGTGTACTGACGACTATGTAAACATGTTTATATATTCAAAAGGAAAAACTTGTATTTCGTGCAAAACTTTTTTATTAATCAATGCAAAGCGCTTTCGGCTTATTTGCCATCATCAGTGCTCATCTACAAATATTGTGGATGTAAACTTACAATTTAAAAAGATTTTAAAAAATATATTATAAAATCTGAATTAGACTTTTAAGTCAAAAGTTAAAATAGTATATATACAATTGTTTGAACAAATTAAAAATTACAAGAAACAAACAAAGTGACAAAAAACTGGTATTGGGAATAGTGAGTGTGGGATAAGCCCTTACAAATCAAATCTGATCTCCAGAAGCAAGTTAGCTTGTGTGGAATTAAGGAATCATGCCACCCTCACTATTCACAAAATTGAAAAAAGGTTAATAAATTAGTTAAAATTTAAAGAAATTTACAATTAGAGGGTGACTATGGAAGATATATTGAAATTTGAATCTAGAATACAATATTTGATATATATATATATATATATATATATATATATATATATATATATATATATATATATAATATATATATATATGTATTATATATATATATGTATTACTGAGAATAAAATATTTCTATTTCTAAACGTTTGGAAGCTCTGCTATTTCGTCTGCCCTCTCCACAAATTAGAATCATGTTAAGTTTCTCTTAGTTTGTGAATTTATCCATATTTAAAACTTTATAAAATGTACGAAAATACTTTAATTCCTAATCATTTCTTTAAACTAGGTAGTCTTTAAAAACTAGCTAAGTGATATCATGTAGTTTACTTCTTTTTAGGAAGAACTAATGGCTCATTAGATATGAATAAAATTAAGTATCGGGAATTCTGGAAAATGATTGTTTTTCTATAAAAAAATATCCAAACAAATATGTATTTGTTTACAGGCTTCTATTAACAACATAACCCTTTATCATAATTTAAAACAAGAAACATGCCACACCATTTGCAAAAAAAGTTGTTATGTCACTTTGACATATGTGTCGTTCATTATAAAAGTGGTTTATCTCCGTTTACTTGATTATTGTAATATAAAGTATTTTGCAAAAAGATCTACAGAAACAAAAAGAAAACTAGTTTTAAATGTTTATAAACTTTTATTGCAAAATTAAATACAAAATTTTAGAACTATAATCATAGTTAAACAATTGTAATAAATACAGTAAAACGTACGTTTACGCAATAAAAGTATACTTTAAAAATGTGATGTCCACTTTTATTATGACATAATTTTACTTACTTCCAAAATTTACAAAAAAAATTTAGTTTTGAAAAGTTACACTTATTTAAATATAAATTTCTATAAAAAATGCTTTCAGAGTTTTGAAATGTATGCTTTTCTTTTTAGAAAAATATCCATGTGATAAAAGAATTACAGCAACTTGTATAGTAGGTGATAAAAGCAACATCACAAATAATAAATCCAAACCATTGAGGCCAACTCTAATTTGTGGTCTAACCCTTATTAGTTTAAATGACAAAGAACCCCATGTACCGCAAATAGAACAAATAGACACTGGTAAAGCATATTTAGTTGTTTATGATTTTACTTACAATAAGCAATGTGAAGAAACGGAAGTAGATACCACTCTATGCGAACAGTCATTTGTTCCCGTTCCCATCGAAGAAGTTGAAAAAAGTCTTAAAGAACCACAAGAAAGCCTTTCTGATATATTCAATAATTTAGACCCTGTGTTATGTTCTTTTTACAAAACACTTATACCTGGAGAGAGCGACGAAGTCTTCATTCCGCCACCCGTATCAACGAAAAAATCTCATACGGGACCAAAGGTACTAATTTTCGATGATTTTAACAATGTCAATAAAACGGGCTCTTCTACCAATGGCCATCAGATAACTACTAATGGGCCTCTAAGCAGTGGACCTAGCGAATTAAGTATATCAGATCATATAACAGAGGTAAGCCAACATAAATTATTTAATAATTTTATTAGTATAGAGCCAGTAATTAAAAAACATGTAAAACTGGTTAAATCAATTTTCTAATAATGTTATAGATAGGAGCCATTACACAGTAGTTTCTTAATTAAGTTTACAGTAAATACAGGTTAACCCAGAGTAAAATTATCTTTGTAAACGCCAACAAGTAGGAGAGGGGGAACTGCCGGTATTAGACACCCAGAATATGGAGATGAATTTTTGTTTAATGCCAAATGCTATGGTGTCACATTAAATAGTTTATTCAGAAATAGTTCACGATTTTTAGGCAGGACTGCAACAAAACGTTCTCGATTTTATAACAGTGTCAGTTTAAGGGGGATGACGCTACTGAGCTTTTCACAAAAATAATTTTATTTATTTAAAGATTATTGTTTCGAGGTACAACTTCTTCATCAGATGTTTAATCTTTGTCTAAACAAAATTATTTTTGTTTAAATCTTAAATAAAATGGTTTTTCCTAGTAATAATTATGGTAGTTAATCAAGAAAAGGTTGAAACAATCAAGAATATTATTAATCTTTGACATGTATATAATTCGAAGTAAAATGGTTAAAATTGCAAAGGCTCTGCATAAACGTAAAATAATTTTTCTTGGACAATAAAAACAAAAACTAAAGTTAACAGTAGCGTTGTAAACTTATTATGGTTATTATTGATTTAGGACCGTTATACTCGTATTAAGTAAAGTGGTTATATTTCACTAATCTGTCAAGTAAACCTACTGACTAATCAGCATGTAGTTACTTTTAACTTTACTCAGAGGTGAATATATAGGCCCTTAAAAGTAATGGTAATGAATAATGTTCATAATGTTAAAATAAATAGTAATCCACAAAAAATATTTCTAAACTAGACCATGATTGATAAAAACAGAGATACTTGGCATGATGATAAGTATGCACCCTTCTGAACTAAATCCAAACTGCCATTAAAAAAAAATAATTGTGTCATCCGACATTCGTGATTTTTCCCATAACCTACTTTAAAAACATTTTGGGGATCAATATATTTAAATTGAGGCTAATACTTGCCAAGGATTTCTTCCATAATAAAGCAAGTAAATTAATAAACTTCTAAATAAAAGGCTAGAATCTGCATTTCAACAAAAATTTTAATTCTGATCAAAATTTTCAAATAACATTTTGATCTTTATTTGGATTTGATTTGACCATTTGAAATAAATAATTATTTTACAAATAAGCTTTTTGTCAAGATATCTTTTTTTTGTAAATGTAATATACCTAAACCTTTTATTATTACAAAAATAAATACAAATGATTCAATGCAAGCAAAAATACAACTGATTTAAATTACTTTTAGAAAATTATTATGATACATTTGAAGTATGCTCCTGTAAATATCCTTTTATGTTAACAGTCGTAGATGGTTAATTTAATTTTATGATTATTTTATGGTTGTTTTGCAGAGATAACAGAGATATAACCATTCATTGATAAAATATATTCACGATGCTAAGATTAATTCGACAATCGATACACTGTATTTGTAGGGAGGCGGCGAGGAAACGAAAGGTGAATAAATGTGTAAGCTGCTATGCGCTTATAATAAACAACTTAAATATCCATGCCGGTGTATGCCCTGTTGCCACTTCCAACCTAACATGAGTAGGTTTTGGAAGTTATTAAAAATTATTACATCTAATTTAGTTAAATTTAATATAACTAATGATTAAAAATTTTTTTGCGTTCAGCTGCAATAAAATATGTTGAATTATTTTAGCTTTTTTAATATATGTAAATAATTTTGTAAACAAAACGAGAATTTGTTGGTAGTTACATCTCCGGTTATCTCTGTTGTTTTGGGACCTTCAAACTATGGTGCCAAATTAGATTTTTTTATATTCACTTATAGGCTGATTTCCATATCTACAGTAGCAACAATATGCTTTAGATAAAAAAGAGAAACCTTGTACATTTGAAAACTAAATGTTCAAAATAATTACAAAATCGAGTGAGGGCAGAGGTCCTTGAAAAACATTGGTTAAAAATGTTAAAATATCAAACGAATACCACACTAATAATTTTTTTGTTAGGTTTAGCAATAATTGCCAGGCTGATATATTTTATATAGGTTTGCTGTTATGAGAAATTACTTTCATTTGAGCATTTCATTTTAAATATTATTTAGAGGGTGACCTCAATTTAGGAATTAAGTAGTTAAGTAATAGAGTGATTTATTTTTCTCTTGTTCCTATAGATAATTAATTATATTACTGTTTAATATAAATGTAAACTACTACATAAATAAATAATAAATAAATAAAATAAATTTACAAAAAAAATAAAAATGTTCACTTTTTGATCAGTGGTGATATATGATTCACAATCATGTTTTTCGTTGTTTTTTGTTCTTTTCATTAGTTACCGCTTTAATTATACGTCATGCCGTTCTTTTTTCATTTTCAATTGTTAAAATTTTATATAAAAATATTTGTTACATTACAAGATATTTCATAAAATATATATTATTTTTAGGTTAAAAATAGTACATCGTCTAAAAAACTAAATTACTCCCGTGCAGTCCAATGTGTAAATCTGCCGACACAATGTAGGAACTGTCAGCACATAGAAATAGCAGATATAATACCCACACATGACCAAAATCACGTATTGGTAGTATTAAAAAGCCCTATTACGCCACAAAGTTTTCTAGTGATATATCCACTGGATACTTCGGATAAAATGGTAAAGTTAAAAGAAGAAGCAGTATTAGTAAAAGAACTGGCCTGCAACGAAAAACCAGTAGAAATAAATTTGTTGCCCACTATAGATAAATTTGGTATTTTATCTGAGATATCTTGTGATGCAGAGGGCAACGCAGTGATGGTTTGTGTAGATGGCATAGTTAGAATAGTTAATTTGTCCAGTTTAAAGATAATTTGTTATGCCAAACTTGAAACTGAGGGATTCGTGTCGGCTGCTTATTGTAATAGTAAGTGTTCTTTATTTCAGATTTATATTCTCAATATAATAGTATAGCAGTATTGACCTTACTATTTTATTATTCCAGGTTTAGATAGGTTATGTGTTTCAACAGAAGAAGGATCCCTACATTTCTATGCGCTTAATAATACAGAAAACGAATCTAGTGATGACCACGACGATGATGACATTTTTGGAATGCATGTAGATGGCAATAACACCTTATCACAATCAGCAGACGTTTTAGATGGGGCTGAATTTCTTAAGTGTTTCCAAAAACCACCCGATATCATACCTTTACATGATCTGAAAAACTTGAAATTGCTCTGCGATTTTGAACCTCTTCGAATTGGTTATTGCGTTGTTGTACCTCCATGTTGGAGCGAATTTCAGCAGTCTCTGAGACAACGCAGACAGCCTCAGTGTGAAGGAGAGCAGAATTCTAAAACTTGGCGATTGTTAACTGATACTACTACTTGGGACGAACACATTTTCGAGATTACTCTCCCAAATTCGACTGTATTGGGTCACGTTGATGTTCATTTTACACTTCAACCTTGCAGCGGTTCTCCCAATGTCGAAATCACACTTCTTCGACAAAATAAGAATGGTATTGGTCACAAAAAAGACGTTAAATTTTCAGTTGATGATACTGTAACCATAGATATGTTGCAATGGGTAGACAATCCTGTAACGTCTCAGGAATATTTAAGGGCACACAATGCTGATATTCTGGCTGGTCCGATAGACTTAGCTTCACACTTGGATCTAACGGAACAGAGCGGAATTGTCACTCTGACGAGTCCAAAATTGTATAAGACCAAAGTTCGAAATTTACTACTTCACATCAGAGCTGTAAACACTAAAGATGATGATAATAAAAATAAGACCAAAAAGTTTATCGATAAACCTTCGACAATAAGTATTGACAAATTGGCTCTACCATCAAGAAAAAATGATTTTTACATGGGATGTGATGTTATTCACGAGCTTAGTGTAAGCTTACATTCGGTAAAACATCCAGAAAATTCAAAAGAACGTGCTCAGGGCAATTTGATGTTAGAATCTAACACTGTTATTGATTCACTGCTTCTGACTGCGGTATCGAGCATAAATAGTGAAGAAATCGGTTTAGTTTTGGATATACTTGATTGGATAGCTTCCATTCGATTGAGTAGAAATAGAAGTAACAATGGAGCTGCTCCTACCCAACAATTGGAGTTTGTTTCAACATTACAAGAACATCTAACAACTCTTTTGCATCAATGCTTGTTACTTGGAGGAAGAAGTATTGCCCATAAGGCTGTCCGATTAATAATTACGTGTTGCAGGTAACTTTTCATTATTTAAAAAAATGGTTTATTGTTTCAAAATGTAACTCCATAATCATTTAATAAGATAAAAATACTTTATTGAATATTTTGTATATTTAACATTAGTAAATTTTACAATTTAATTATTGGATAAAGAATTTTTGTTTTGTTTTAAAAATTTTCGCTTTTTTTAATTATAAAAAAATGTTGAAATCCTATTTTTTTCTTATATGGAATGTAATCCTATCGATTTGAGTTACCTTTTTGTTCCTTTACATTCTGATTTTGTAACGTTCATTTGTTTTTCCCCAATTCTTCATTGCATTACTCAGTTTGTATTGAACATTTCACTGTTAGGACCATGTCGTGTAAATATAAGAAACGTCAGTTTGGTTGTTGTTTCTATTTAGTTGCCTAACTTCAATCAGAAACACAATAAGCCAATACCAAGTCAGATGAAAACAGAAAAAAAACTTCAGTTTTTTTTTTTTTTTTTATTTTTTGCTTATTTGCTTTGTCTTTGACCATGAGACACCAGCTCAACATGTCCCCTTGTTTTAAATAGTACATTGATTTAAACTATAATAATTCCTCATTTTGTTTAATGTTTTAATTTAATTTTGCAACCTTTTTTATCTAAATAACTTATAACATCTAATTGGTATTGATGTGATACCATTTTACATTTAATTTATATTTTTAGTGGTACAGAAAACATCAGCTCCAGCTGTGGTGAACAATTCAACTCAATCGTTCTTAAATCAATTTTCTCTATTCTGGATTCCATAACTGAAATAAAATCTGCTGCTGGTTTACAGTGGATGTTCTCTCTCTTGCTAAAAGTATCTACAAAGAATCAAGAATCTTTAATAGCATCTAAATGCACTTCACTTCTTAGTACAGTAGCAAATGAACTATTAAATAGATCAAATCCTTATCACTTGATATTAAGAGGTCGTTATGGATTGTATGGTACACCAATGGAACCAGAATTGTTTGATGTGGAACCGCCACCTTATGTGAAAAGCGATAGGTCTTCAACTTACCTTTTAACATCTAATAACGCCAACCAAGCTTCCCAAGAACCATCTTCCCCTAACGTCTCTAATGCCACTAGTTATTCTTTTAATAAGGAAAATATTAGTCCGAAAGATGTTCTCTCCACTTCCACAACTAAACTCAAGTACAAAAACATTGCATCTTTTCGCGTTATCCGAGGCCTTATCGAGACCCAACCGCTTCACTTCTCTTGTATTTGGTCCAGTGAAGGCACTAGGGTGGAAAGGGCTGATTCGACTCTAAACCCTTCGACTTTTATTAATAATTTACCCATTTTTACTTCTACGCCAAATGAACATTTGGAAGAAAATGTCGAAAAGCTGATGGATAAGTTGAAAATGATGAAGGATCAGGTGAATAAAGGAAAGCCTGGATATAATAAATGGGTAATTGAAATGCTGCAGGAGTCTGGATATCTGGAAGATAAAACTATGTTTGGTACGTATAAAAACCATATATATGCAGGTGGATATGTTAAAAGTGACATTCTGGTTTATGTCCTCACCAATGGTCTAGGACATGGGACAGTATATAATTTTGGATCTTATTTGGGCGTTATAAACATCCATAACTTCAATGACTATATGATCGATCATACTGATTGCTTACTGCGACATATATCTTTGAGTTTATGAGGGATAAAGGAGCCGCACTAGCATCCTGGACACTTTAATTTATTCCTGAACCTCTCTAATTTGTATTTGTTTCATTTTATCTCTCCATTCATTAATTTAATTTATGACTGAACAAGAACCGGAGAAATTTTGTTAGGAAAATAATTCTGGAAATAAGTTCACTAATATTTAAAGTTGTAGACAATGTACATATTCTATTGGTTATTTTAGTAGCCTCAACGTTTCAGTATATTCTTTCGATTATTTTCTCACCTGAAAATGTTATGTGATTCAAATTTGTATTTCTAAGTACACTTTTAATTAGTAAAATCATAACTAATCGTGATAATTTCCTTATAGGTTTTCCTGAAAACGTTTATATTACTCCAAAGTTAACAGTTCAAGAAAATTCAATCATGGTACCAAATGAAACCGTAAAAATAACGACTAACATACCAGAAGAAATAAAAACCACAAGCGGTCACGTTAGTGGTTTACCATGGCAGGAACTTTTAACAGTACCTCCAAAACAAGTAATTGTAGTGGAAAGAATGCATTCGGGAGCTAGAAGACATATTACTTTAGATTTTGGGAAGCCGATTTTATTGACAGATATATTTATACCATCTTGCTCGGATTTGGTTACATTGACTATTGATATTTGGTTGAATGGAGAAGATGTCGATGAAACTAGATTGGTAGTAGCCATGGACATAGGAACAAGGAATTTATTACTAACGGATTTACAACCGCCACCATTGTGTAGATACATGAAGGTTTGTTTAATTAATATTTATAATTTAGTAGGTATATCGTTATTAAACAAGTCAACTAAAAAGAATATCACAAATGGAAGATAAAATATTGCTATATGCTTAAAAAAATACAATTTGAAATGGAGTCACTAGTGAGCATATGTCATTGTGACCTAACTCTGTACCGGAATACAGTAGTCCAATTCAGTATATTTTTCTACCTTGATGAGATAAACCGATAAAGACAAAGTGGACTATCGTATCGGCGGCAACTAATTGAGAGCTTTTACTGAAATTTATTCTCACTAGAGGCCGTTATGTTCCAGTAACCTAAAATTCTTGACAACAACTTTTGTAATTATGTATATTTTACTGACAGTAAGTTGAAAATATAATCACTTTCATGTCCAATTATTTAAAATATATAAAGTGTTGCATTGTTAATAACTGTACAGTATGCACAAACACAAATTCTGGAAATATATTTCCAAAAAATTAAGTAGAAAAAAAAAACGATTTAGTAGAGCCATAAATAGGTCCAATTTGGAACCGCTACTTTCAAGCCATTCTAGGGGAGAATTTTCATAAGAGACAACACAGCACGAGTCTAGGAGTGCTTAAAATGTCAACTGTCAAATCTAATGCTGTTTCCAGTCCACTTTGGGTCGTTTTGCCTATTTTTTTGTCAGGATATCAAAGATTCGTTTTCATGACATAAAGGTCTATTTTTTGGGATCGCTGATTTTAAATATGATTAAAAATTGGAAATAAAAAATGGCTGATCTAATATGGCACACGAAAATATTAAAAATTGCTTGTTTTGCATAAAAATGAAACCTGGAGGTTCTTTAACAGGTTTTTGTGGTAATTTATTTTGAATATTATGACAATAAAATTAGAAATATAAAATAGCGGATCCAATATGGCACCTGAAAATATTAAAAATTGCTTGTTTTGCATTAAAATGAAACCTGGTGAGTTCTTAAAGAGTTTTCGAGGTCGCTGATTTTGAATATGACATTAAAAATAAAAAATAACACAGAAATTAAAAATTGTCGATCAAGTTATTAAATATTTTTGTTTTCCATTTTTATAACAAGACCCGTCATATTAGATCCGTTATTTTGAACTTTAAAAATCTGATAGCAGATTCTAAATTGGTGACTCAAAAAACCCATAATGCCAAATTTTATGGAAATTGGAAAAATTTTCAATTACGTTCCGCCATTTTGAATTTTGTATTTTTGACATCGAATGCATACTCGGCGATCCCAAAAAACCACGGGTAAAATGTTGACCAATATCGAAAAACTTTTACAGCAAAAAAATTGGTTTTCAATTATTTCTTTTGCACTATTATACAGGTCATTAATGTCAATACGATTTTCATATAAAACTGGTTATAGCATGTGAAATTTCCATACTGTTTGGTATTGTTATGATGGGAAAAGCGAGGGTAACTCAAATATTAAATAAAATACCATTTAAAATACCTAACTGATATGTATCACTTTCTTGGAGAACCCAGTATAATTGAAATTGTTTCCTTTTCTGATATAAATCTCGGTGTGAATAAAGAATTAGTTTTGGCTCTACAGATCAAAGCGTTCATGGTGAAACACCCTATATATGTTTATATATATATAATCATTTTTTATGAAATATTTTGTACTAGTACACGGATATTGGATTAAAAAATTATAAACTTCTTTTATGGTTCTCTCACAATTCATGAATTATAATCGCAAGAAAAAAATAGTTATTTTTTATACAAGGGAAAAAGTATTAGATCTAATATTTTTCACATGTATAATACACTATTTTTTTGGTGACGGGAAAAACGATTTAATATTTCAAAAAATATTCAAGGGTAATATACCAAGACCTTGATAATAGTCAGCTCGAGAATATTTTAATATCAATTTGATGATACATAATGTTTGGCATTAATAATCTGATTAGAGCCTGAGAGCTTCAGCTTCGAGAAATTTAGCAGAATATTAATCAAGGTCGTGTTATATTTGGAACGACTATTTCACTAGACCAAATATCGCCTATTTCTCTAATAGGCGCTGATATTTGGTCTAGGGAGATAGTCTAATATATCTACTTTTACTTATGTGAATATATATCCGGGAAAAAAGTACTCAGTTTTTCCCGGGGAAACACTTTTTTCCCGGAAAACGGGGAAAAAAGTAATTTCATAAAAAGTTACATTTTGTTGCCTGACAAGAGAGATAAAATTTCAAACTTTTTTCCCGTCACAGAAAAAAAATTTATTTTACTATAAATTGTTAAATGACTACAATTTTTAGATAACCGTTGTTGGGCGCTACGGTATGTCAACTGTAAGATGTCGAATTCCATTGGGTTATTTCTATGGCCACATTACTATGATGCCTGAAGAACCTTTCCCTTTGGTTGCACAAACTTCCAGTGCCACAACCGATTTAGATAAACAACTGGGAATCTTAGCCAAACTCTTTGAAGATATTAGTTGCAGATACAGTCTGGCTTGTTCGAAACTTAAAGAACTTTTACAGCCATTTATAGTGTCTGATATGAAAAATGCCGCACATTTGGCTACCTACATGAACATTCTAAAAGATAGAAGTGCTAATGTTAGTAATATCGAACACACCAAAATTTTTTCTGTTTATCAAGAGACTATTAGGTACCAGTATCAATTGAACATAATTAGGAACGTAATGTCAAGAATAGAAGGAAATATATCCACTACAGAGACGCAACTTAGTTGTGAAATATCAACAGATAAATTGACTTCTATAGCAGAAGGATTATTAGAAGTGTTGTTGTCCATCGATTCTACAACTGAAATGTCTAACGAAGCATGCCAACAATTTTTCAAAGGTCTCTGTATGACTCAATCGTCTAGATTGCAGCTTCTCGCTGCGATATTTTTGGAGAAATACTGTGGAAAAACGATGTTTTGGGGCGATTTCTTAGCTGATACCTTAGCGGAAAATTTCTCGACATCCTGTATCTTAAGATTTCCACAAGATAGATTGTTCATTCTCTTATCGTACCTTAGCAGAAAATCTTCAGAAAAAAGTGCTGTTATTGATGCAGCATTAAGAGTTGTACATGATACATTAAGTCCACTTGCTACTAATAGAAGATCGCTACTAGCTGCTACAATAGATCTACCCTTGCTATCCTGGCAGTTAATGTATCTATCCCTTCAGTTATCTTTGTGCAAAACCTCGACTTCTTCAGCTAACAGATGGAATTGGGTACTTGGGGAGATGGTAGGTGCTAAAAACGTTGATAATACAAAAGGAAATAACAGAAAGAAAACTTGCAAAAGAATGGCTCAACCATCCACTAATCCATTGCCGGTTAGTATAATAAATTTAATAAAGCATTTGTTATTTTTCCTCTGTATAAAAAGTTTAGTATTTATCAAAAATTATCGCGGAATATATATTGTCAGCCAAGCCAAAGCTTTCGGAATCAATTCGGTGCGAGAAAATGTTTACTACTTTTAAACATTACATTATTGAGGAACTACATGGAATCTTTAAAGTTTACATTAGCTTTGTTCGCGGTAGGAATCCTGAACTGAATTATTTCTAACAGTAACCATTTCGCAGGCGCGGTAGTTAAAAAGCTTTCGCGGAACAAAAAGAACTGAACTATGGGTTCTATCCTGCGTTCGCGGTAAAATTATTATTGGTTTTGAACCGCTTGTCTATACTTGAAACATCGACATATAATAGGGATTGTGCGCGTGGTAAAAATTCAGAATTTATAATGATTCGGGCATGCGCTCAAAGTATGAATTAGTAATTCTGAATCAGTTCAGGATTGTTACCGCGAACGAACCTATTATAACACCAATGTTACAATTTATCAAGAATGTATAGTTTGAATAATTATAAATAGGCAGTAAAATAATTACAAATTTTTATAACTTTTCTAAATATTATACATGTGGACATTTCCGAGTGGAAATATAACCCGATTTCTGTGTACTTTTTCTAAAAAAAAGTAATTGAAAATTTAAATTAATGAAAGATTAAAAAATCATTTTGTAGATAAGAACACATTTTTACATGAATCTTAAAAAAAATTATAATATATAAAATCCAGTTTTATAAAATATACAAAGAAATAGATGTTTGAAAATAGACAACAATGGAATCTAACTTATAGTCTTATTTTATAATCATTGCAGTGTCATAAAATCTCAGAATCCTGATGTTATTTGGACTTTTACATTTTTATCATGATATTGACAACAATTTTGTTTCATTTTGAGTTTCGGATTTTATAGCTTATACATTTATTTTTTAAACCATAAAAGTTAGAAATTTGAAATTTTTGGGAAATTGAACTAAGGAATGTATACTACCTTTTTAATGATATTAGGTAATGTAATCATCAAAATGGCGGACAGGGGTCGGTTTGGAAGATAATTTCAAATGAGATCGTATGATATGATACATCATCTGAAAGCTTGTTCCAAACCTTTCCCAATGACATCAATAAAAAAATTTACTCATAACGAAACCTTTGCTTAAACTTTTTGATGCTACAAACTGAAGAACTACAAATTTTTAACCTTTGGAACTGTACTATTCTCATTTAAATTCAAAGGTTTTTTTATTGGTTCATATCTCAATTTAAAATTTCTAACTTTTTCGGTTCAAAAAATAAATGGGGTGGGAACTTTAGACCGGCACTGTATAACTTATTTTTAGCTATAAAAAACTTGTATTTCATGCAAAATTTATTTAAAATTGCTTAGCGTTTTTGGCCTTAAGCCATCATCAGTGCTTATCTACATTAAATTGTGTTTTTTTCTGTTTATTTTGAAATTTTAAAATGCAAAATAAGCAGAAGATATTGCTATTTTAATAACAAATAAATATCGAAGTAATAATCCATAAGCTGTTAATAAAAATATAAGTAACGTTACTTTTTATTTTATGTGTCAACAATATTTTAACCTGCAGCTATTTATTTAACAGCCAACTAATTCATCTCTTACAATAGCTAATACTTTAGCTTACAGTTAAGGTTAACTGAAATACTAATAAACACTTTGACATTAATTTTACCGACAGCTAATACATAAGTAGCGGTCGAATTAGCCAGGGGACGGGACAGGAGCGGAGTTTTTTAGGGTGCCTTTAAATGACGTTTAAGCGTGTTGAACTGTCATTAATCGGAATTAACTGAACGCTAAAAGGGTCGTTTGAAGTTAAAGGAGTGAATGGAACTTGTCTGTCCGAACTTACCTTTAACCAACAGCTAAAGTCCTTAACTGTGCACTGATAAATCCATCCTTAGAATCACATTTTAACTAAACAAAATTTACAAATTTATTTATTTTTCAGAGTTACTCAAGTATTGTTATAAATCCTGATAACGCTTATCAACAGAAACTGAAAAGTATGATGATGCATGATAAATTGTCAAGGTTAAAATATATTAAGAAATTGCAAGACGAAGGAAAGCTATTAAATAAAGAGAAGAAGGAACAGTTGCCCGAAAAACCTAATATATTACTTAAAACGCCACAATTTATTGATAATAATCATTGTTTGATTGTTGCGAAGGGTCTTCTGCATTTAATATTATCGATGGACCACTCTAGCAGCGCTGACATGCTATTATTGTGCTTTAAGGTAAAATATTAATTGTCAATGTCTAGCACATTTTTTTTACAGTTTAGTATTCCAATAATTCATGATTAATAATAATGTTCTTTAACTGAGAATGCAATTTAGGTGTAGATTCTCCCTTTTTTCAACATTCCACATTGGCTTGTACATGAGTTTTTTCAAGTGAGCGAAAAACCGGAACCAACTGAGCTTCTGCTTACTGTGCATGTGATATTGGCTATTTCAGCTATATTTTTATGTATCTGTATGTAGTCCTTTATTTGACAATTTGCTAATACATTCAATAATAAAATATATCATACATAGTGCATAAAAACAGTAGTGAAAAAATACACAGAGTTTTTTCCACTGCTACTGAGGTTTGTGGAATATGAAAGTCTTATGGTGTTTTCTATTATGTGTGGACTTGAAAATAGTATTTGGTTTTATTTACCAAGTATGTAGATGCTATCCATTTTTTTTTTTTTTTCATTATTTAAAAATAGTTTGAAATAAAAATAATCTTTGACGGAAAATGAGAAAAAGTCAAATGTGGAAGTAGCAATGTGTTGTACAAAATTGTTTTGGTCCACTGATTGAGGAAGCTTGGAGTTCTATATAAATAACTAATTTTAAAAGATAAAGTTTTAATTAGATAGTTGGCATGATCTTTAAAATTTAATGTCTGGTCATCAATAACCCCTAAATATTTTATTTTCTTTACTAATTTAATTTCTTGGATTCCTAAACATATTTTTAAAGGGTTATTGTTAAAATCATAATAATATTTGCTTTTTCATTTCTGATGTATGTTTAGCGATAATGCTTTACCACCTTGTCCGATTTATATGATTCTTTTTTTGGTAGTAAGGCGGTGCTTCAGGGATGGTCCCATATAAATTTGGTTAAGATGTGGTGATGGCATCTGCACGTTTTTGAAGTCGGTTTTTTTAAATTTTTAATTTCTAATACTTGTTTTCAGTTTTTATTTACGGTTGTCTAGGTAACTGTACAGCTATTGCAACGCTTCTTCTACAATTTAAAAAGTTTCTAATTTGTTTAATTAGTAATTCTCTATTGACATTTTCAAACGCTCTCTGTAGATCTGAGAAAAGCGTTCCAGTAACAGGTTTTTTTAATCTTTATTAACTTTCCAATCGTCGATGACACACTGATGAATAGCAGTCTCACAGCTATGTTTTGCCCTAAAACCTGATTGAACACTGTATCAAACTTCCGTCTATAAAATCAATTAGATGAATATACACTATTTTCTGTAAGATTTCTTAAATTCAATGACAAATTTACTAGTCTTAGGTCGAAAGGTTTCTTAAAGTTAATTTTTAGGATTGGTACTACTGTTGAATTTTTCAAATCGTTTGGAAATTCATTAGTTTCTATTCACAAATTTATCAGATTTAATAGAGGCATAGAAATATTACTGTAGCATTTTTAAGTTATATTTATATCATCTGAATTTGCCTTGTTGGGCATTGAAAGAACAATTATTGTTACCAGCCCATTGTCTGTGATTTTCCTTAATTTCCTTATAAAATTATTTTTATTTTGAGGCATTACAAGTTGATTTGAAGTATAATTTATACCCATTATGTGTATATTATATTCTAGAAATGTCGACATAAACATTATTTTATTTATTTAGGTAATATCAAAATTGGTGACATTGGCTAAATTACAACTGGGACAGCTTTTAAAAGAGAATCAGCTGTTGGAGCTGATTCACTTCTGTATATCCAGCAAAATTCCTTGGGCGCCGTTTGCTTTGGCTTGCTTTTTACAAGATGCAATGGAACTCAGTTCTGTCAAAATTGAAGATATTGAGATGGAGACAGAAACTGCTATATCTCCTAGCTGGACACAAAATGGTAAGTTTGTTGTTTGCCATTTAAAATATTTTTATTAACCAGTATCTTTAAATTACCTAATATACACTATTGTCTTCTTGAATTGATAATCTTCTTGATTTATTAGTATTTTTATATTGTAGAATCAACCCCGGATAGTGACCAAACAATTGATAATTTTAACGTAGATGCACTAGTAGCTGAAACTTCTAATATACAAGCAAATTCAAGTTCAGTATTACAAAATTATAAGGAACAACTAGAAGTAGAAGCAGTCGTAGAAGCAATATTATCAAAGAAAAACAACCCACCTATGTTAAATAATAACAATTTTCCTCCACTTCCCTCAGTTTACGAATCAGAAGATTCAGATTTTGAAGAAATATTAGATGATTCGCAAAAACTAAGAACTACTGTGGCTAAAGGACCTAAACAAGTATCAATTTCGAATTCTGGATTGTCATGCGCGATGGATCTGAGGCTTGAGTTGGGAGTACAATCTAATTCAGAGATAACAATAAAGAAACTAATCATTAGAAACACACAGCTATTACTTCAAAATATTTCTTTTGAAGGATTACAGAAAGAAAGTAGCAATGAGTTAAACCCTTGGCCTACGCTTGTTGAGAATTTTCCAGCTGAGTCACTGTTAAACAACCAAAAAATGCTGACGTATTGCTTTGCATCTTTGTTTGAAAACATTCAAAATCATGATCCTTCAAAAATAGAGCTTATTTTGCAGCTGTGGTTAACTTTGAATGTATCGAGTAAATACGAGCAGTTTGCACCCGGAACGATCCCACAAATTATACTCAATTGTAGCTCCATAAACTTCCTAATTAGTGCAATGGCTTGGACGCCTGGATTATCACTGACCACCTGGTGTAGTGCCTTACAAACTTTAACTTTGGTTTGTAACATGAACAACGGCAAAAAGTGGTTCGATTTGTCCGGTATGGCAAATACCATTGTAAATCATGTAAATTTTGTGCAGTTCTTCTTGAACCTGTTGTCCGGTACTGGTCCTGTTTTCAATGGAAAAATATTAGTAAGTACAAAATATATTTTTTCTGTGACGGGAAAAAAGTTTTATATTTTATCTCTCTTGTCAGGTAACAAAATGTTGGGAGACAACACAACCTCGAGCTAAAATCTAATACTTTTTTCAAGTTTACCAATTTACGAAATTTGTCTGTATGTTGTGATGTAAATAATCGAGGACGTATTTTTGGAGAACGTTCCTCCCCGAGTACGACCGAGAATAAACAAGCATAAACAAAAAACGCTAGAATTTATGTTAGGGGAGAAGTTAAGTATTTAAAAACTTACTTTTCGCAGTTTTTTCTGAAAATGCTCAAACTTCTCGAAGGGGTGAAAATGCTCAAAACTCTCCTGAAGCTTCATAAGAAAATTACATTGTTAATAATACAGCAATATACATTATTAAAAAAATCTTTCTTAAGTAAAAAATAGCAAAAACTTCAGTAACATAAGTAACATGTAAAAACATAGTGTAAGAAATGAACTTAAATATAAAACTTTTTATATGCAATATGCAATAAACAGAAAATACAATTATTTTAGGCCGAGAAGTGATACGTTTTACCTATTAACCTTCTCTAATGTCTATACTCGAAGTGTCAATTGAATTGGCGTAAAAAAAATATTAAAAAGCGGTACTCGCAACATAATTTACAAAGCAAAACATTGTGCGGTTTAGTGTTACACGTTAGTGTTTGTGTAATTAAGTTATCAGACCCTAAGGTATACTAGCGAGTAGAACTTTAGTTTTTAAGATTGCAACCCTAGTTAAGTTAGGTTATAACAAAATTACTCATTGATAAACTCTTGATCAGATTGTAATATCAATAAACGCCCCTTTTGAAGTTTTTTCACGAAACAAAAAAACAATATACATCTTGATGTCACTCCTAATTTGATATTACCAAAGTGACATATTTTATTTTAAAAAATTCGATAAAAAGTTTGTAGAAACATCATCTTCTGGGCATATCGATTGAAGGTATAAAGTATAATCAAAGGGTAACATAAAAAGATCTTGATAATAGTCGGCTATTTTTGTTGAATCTAAATCTCGAAAATATTTTAGCTTTAGCTCGAGGGGTCTATCAATTGATTATTAATGCCAAAATTATGTAGAATGAAATTGTAAAATGTTCGAGAAATTTAGCAACTACAAAAATAGCAGAATAATAATCAAGGTCGTGTTATATTTGGGACGACTATTTTACTAGACCAAATATTGACTATTTCTCTAGAGAAATAGTCGCTGATATTTGGTCTAGGGAGATAGTCAAAATTAATTACCTAATTTACTACAGAAAACAAAAAAAATTAACACTGTTCTAACCACACACACTGACCTTTACACAACAAATCGAATACCAAAATAAAACAAGGGAATTTACTATGACAGCGGTACCATATTGAGTCATGCAATGCACACATATGAAGCGCGCTGATTGGCCGGGATCGTGCAGAAATTTCTTGTTCTTGCTAAACATTCTTATTCGTGCTTGAATGTGTTCCCTGGGGAACGTTCGTGCACGATAGATAATTTGTGTGTGCACGAACGATTTCCTTCCTTTATATCACTAGTAATATGAATGAAAGGGTAATATTGTCACCTAACCTCCACTATAGAATTCGAGGTTGTATGGCTGCCTTATAACACAAAATAACTACTTCCACAGCTATTTGTTCATCCGCACATTGAATGACAAGTGTTATAATGTGTTCGCGACCTAGTGACTATATATTAGAGAAATAGCCGAGTTATCCGATATTTTACCCTTATCAGCGAAGTTTTTACGTCACCATTGGTGCACTTTCTGTTTGACCTTTTTAATATACAAAATAAACTTTTTTTATTGATATATACAGGGTGTTTTAGATTTAAACGGACACAGCTTAATGGGAGGTAGAGTACACTTAGCTGAGTTCAAAACACCCCTATACTTAGCCTTTAATCTTACTCGTTTCTGAGATATAGGGTGTTTTAGATTTTTTACCAAAACTAAAATCGGACATTTTGTTTGAACGGCTAGAGTTATTTTGATAAAATTTTGTACAAAAGTTACACTCTCTTAGGTAAATCAAAACCATAATTTAATTTAAAAAAATACCAGGACCGGACTCTCTTTTTTTATATTGCTCTCTTCTTAGCTATAATATCACCCTGTAAATCGGATTTTAATAAATGTTACTGCACATTTAAATAGTACGTGGATCAACAAATAAAATAATGTAATAATATTTAATGGCACCATCTTGATGTTCTTACAATAAATTTTTATAATGGCGGCTACATTATTATAAATCAGTATTTACAAAATTAAAATCAAATATTTTACTCTGTACTTTTAAAACTCTACACAAATTAGGCACCATCTTCATTTTTTTTTAACTACATCATTTTCCATTAGGAAATTGAACATCTACACAGGACCGGGCTCACTTTATTTAATAAAGTAATAGAACAAACTAATAGAAACAAATAATTAATTAAAGCTAAAGTAGATTTTCAAAATGAACGTCAATACACCTTTGCGAACGTTTTAACAGGTTTTTCACTAATTTGTCAATTATTTTCGGTTTATTTCTAATGTTGTTACATACATTGTTAATTTTTTCCAATAACCGTGCTCGGGTATTCATTTCTTCGTTGTACACCTCTGATTTAAGGTAGCCCTATAAAAAATAATTCAGAGGTGTCAGATCTGGAGATCTTGGTGGCCAATTGACGGGACCGCCTCGACCTATCCATCTATTTGGGAAACGATGATTTAGCTGTGCTTGTGTTTTAAGTGCTTTTTTAAAAATTCTACACCAAACATTTAATGTTTGTTCAAGTCGCTGGATAGGTCGAGGCGGTCTCATCAATTGGCCACCAAGATCTCCAGATCTAACACCTCTGTATTATATTTTATGGGGCTATCTTAAATCAGAGGTGTACAACGAAGAAATAAATACCCGAGCACAGTTATTGGAAAAAATTAATAATGTATGCAACAACATTAGAAATAAACCGGAAATAATTGACAAATCAGTGAAAAACCTGTTAAAACGTTCGCAGAGGTGTATTGACGTTCACGGTGTTCATTTTGAAAATTTACTTTAGTTTAAATTAATTATTTGTTTCTGTTACTTTATCAAATAAAATGAGCCCGGTCCTGTGTAGATGTACAATTTCTTATTGGAAAATGCAGTAGTTAAAAATAAATGAAGATTGTACCTAATTTGTGTAGAGTTTTAAAAATACAGATTAATATACAGTGCAACCTCTTTAAACGGAACACCTAATTGTCAGACCTTGTTCGGATTATCGAATTGTTCGGACTAACGAATATACAATAAAACACCTCTTACACAATTTTAGACCTTTAGATCAATGTATGTATATTGATTTTTGTACATTTAAATGCATTATCAAACTACATATGGACAACGCGGGCCGCGCTGGAGGTCTTTTCCTGTCAGCGTTCGGATTACAGAGGCGGCGTTCGGACTATCTCGCATCACGATTTGCGTTCGGATTAGCGTAATTCGGATTAGCGTGGGTTCGGATTATCGAGGTTGCATTGTATTTGATTTAAATTTTGTAAAAATGATTTATAATATTGTAGTCGCCATTATAAAAATTGACTGTAAGAAAATCAAGATGGTGCCTTTAAATATTATTACACTATTTTATGTATTGATCTGGGTACTATTTAAATGTGAACATTTATTAAAATCCGATATACAGGGTGATATTCTAGCCAAGAAGAGCAATGTAAAAAAAAGAGCGTCCGGTCCTGGAATTTTTTTAAATTAAATTATGGTTTGGATTAACCTAAGAAAGTGTAACTTTTGTACAAAATTTTATCAAAATAACTCTATCCGTTCAAACAAAATGGCCGATTTTAGTTTTGGCAAAAAATCATAAATTACCCTATATCTCAGAAACGAGTAAGATTAAAGGCTAAGTATAGGGGTGTTTTGAACTCAGCTAAGTGTACTCTACCTCCCATTAAGCTGTGTCCGTTTAAATCTGCAACACCCTGTATAATAAATTAATAGTTTATTGCCCTTATATAGGGTATTCCTTAATGATAAGCGATTATTTAAAGGTAAAAATTAATGATAATGTGCCTTATCAACTATGGCCCAAAAATATTCCGTTACGAAAATACAGGGTGCTAAAGTTTTAAAAAAGGAAAATTAATTAATACTAGCTGACCCGATCCCGCTTTGCTGGAATTTCTCAATCCACAATTATTAAAAGTGAATAACAGTTTTTGTTACTTGAGAGAAATTTTTTCAGGCCATACCTGGCAACTTTTTTTAATTAATTTTTTTTTCGTTTGATGTCCCAGCTGTATATACCTAATATGCCAGTCTTAGTTTGTGTTTGCCTTCTTATTGATGAGTGTTCTGTCTAGGCTTTGTTACTTTTTCCCAGCACCACTTCAGGAACCGCACTGTTAATTAGAACCCAACAGTGAATGATTGAGTAGGAAATCCTACCTATGAATTAGAATTAATATTATTTTTTTTTTGTTATTGATAAACTCCTGCACCGGTGGGATTCGATCCTGGGACCTTTCGATCTCAAAGGTCATGACTCTAACCACTAAGCTAACCCACCCCTCTTTTAATATTAAGATTCGAAAAAAATGTAGTGCAATCGTTCCTGCTAATTTAAAAACTTAAAATAGCCCATATCAAAGTTGGCTACTGACATTAGTTTTCAATTAAATTCGCATTTAAATTAAAAAAATATTAACTATTTTTCAAAAACATACTGAATTTGACAGATAACTATTGCATTACCTAGCCTACTTTCATATGGGCTATTTTAAGTTTTTAAAAAAGCAGAGTTGAATGTTATACGACGTTTTTTCAAATCCTAATGTTAAAAAAATTCCCACATAGATCCAACGTTATGGAACACAGTGTATAACAATAATTTAGATATTTTTGTTCGAATAGTTTAAAATTTTTATATGTAATAAAAAAAATTTTGTTAGAAAAAATTATCTTTAGTTTAATTCGCTTTATAAAAACGAATATGTAATCACACTTGGCTTGTAAATATTTTTATTTACAAATATGCTGTAATATGACAAATTAATATAACATTTTTTATTAAAAAAATAAAAGGAACCTACAAGATAAGGATAAACTTAATTTTAATTTAAAAAGTTTAACTTTTTCACATGTAGGTATATATTATTAATGAAAAAATAAGTACTGAGTTTAAACAAACGGTTCATTATTGATTATTAAAAAAAATTATATGTATATTAAAACATTCCTAGAAATTATTTCTTAAGTATAATAAAACAAAAAACATATAAGAACATTTTTAAAATCCTATTTATAGTTACAACTCTTAGAAATTTGTTATTTTTTATCAGTTATAAATTTTAATTAAATATTTCTAAAAACATTATTGAAGCTTTATGTATTTATTATACAGTGTCTACCCAAACTGTCAGCATGTTATGGTGGATACATTTATTAGTTTCATGAAAAAAGTTCCTGATAGTCATGTGTCACAAATTAATAATTGATTTTAAAATTTATAAAGTATTTATTAGTATAGAGGGAAAATAAAAAATAATTTATGCTGATGAGTAAAGTACTTTTAAATTTCAATACTAAGCAAAATATTAATTGAAAATGTTTACAGGAATGAAACAATATGCTCAAGATTAAATCAGTTTACTTATTTTTAACTGATTTCGATTTCCTTTGTTTAATAAATTGAAATTGTTTGAATTTTACAAATTTGATGCTTGATTATGGATTTCCAACTGATACAAAACTTTTTGTAAAACTAATAACAATTTTTTCCATAAGCTAATTTAAGTCGACTCTGCATGATATTTTATTAATTTACATTTTTTTTTAATTTGTAAATATTTTTTCTTTGTCCATCATGTGTTACAAGTTTTCTTTTTAAATACCTTCACTACTCCAGGGCCTAATTTTATAATATTACTTGGGTACCTTTCAAAATAAGAATTCAATTTTTTTTTAGCCATTCTGAATTTAGTTTAATAAATTTGACATAAGACAATTGTTGTACCCAAGAAGGAATATGTAACTCTCCTAATTCGGAGGGATTATTTTTAGCAAGATATCTTGTAATATAATTGAGAGCATCATATATGGTTTCTGGTTATCTGTTTCCTTAGATTGAACTTGAACTGGTTAGATTTCCAGATACATCAACAGATCATGTTGATGAGAACAAGCTGCTTAAATTTTAAATGTTTTTCAATATAGACGTATCTAACTATAGATTTGCTTTTTCTAAAATTTTAGGTAAAATATTATTCATTAACCAATTTTGTAGCGGTGGCTTAGTGGTAGAGTCTCTGCCTGCAGATCCAAGGGTCCCAGGTTCGAATCCCACCGTTGGCCGGGATTTTTTTATTTAATTTAATTATTTAAAATTAATTCAGATGCCTTGATAGGATTCCCCACTCGACCATTCACTGTTGGGTTCTAATTAACAGTGCTGTTCCTGAAGTGGCGCTGGGAAACAGTAACAAAGCCTACACAGAACACACATGATTGAGAATTTAAAAACACAAACTGAGACTGCTATATGAGGTATACATCTAGGCCATAAATCGAAAAAAAAAAACAATTTTGTTGTAGTTATTACTTATTATTTAAAACTCAGCACAATGGCAAACCTACAATGTTTTTTAATTCTCTTTTTAACGGGATTAAAAATAATATTTCTCCAAAATTCATTTTTTTAATCTCTTTCATAATCATTTGATGTAAAATGTAAGAAGAATATTGTAGCAGTCATATCGTTAAATTTGTCTTCTCTTTTACAACAATTTGTCCATTCTTTTTTTTATTGTAATTGAAACTAAATCATTCTTTTTCGAGAAGGAATGAAATATCAATTTTACACCTTCTTTTATAAGGGTGCCTATTGCTCTTGCAAAAATTAACAGCAGAAATCGGCCCTAGCATTGCATTCTAACATAATAATTTAGAAAATATCTTATTGAGAAAACTTACCAAATCTATTCAAATATTTGAGAAACAAATATTAGCAAGAATTTTCAAATGTTAATCACAAAAACAAGTTAGAAAGCTCAATGCTTTTAAAAGTTTATTCAATCGAAAACTGTTCAAAAACACAAAATATTAATCGATGTTTTTACAAATTTATTCACACTAAAAGCTGTTGAAAAATACAAAGTTAACATATATACTTTCTTTAGTGACAGCCCAAATTCTATACTGATGGATACGTCGTCACTGCACGGTAAATAAGGCAATGTGGATTCCTATGAAACTATCTCTGCTATATAAGTATTGTTCGCGACCAACTCTGGTAATACATCAAACCCTTTGATGTGACTTTTCGCCCTAATTGGTCTTTTCAGGCAAAAGCAGTCGACAAATGATTGGAGTATTTGAACTATACATGCTGATAATAATTAAAGGTTATCATTTTTAAAAACTGCAAAAATCTAGATTTTCTCTTTCCTGGAAATAATTTTACAAATTTCGTACTCACGCCATCTATATTAAATTTTATTGTGATTTCATATATTTTAGAATTATTTTTCATTTGAATAAAAAACTATCTTTAAAGGTATAGCCATTTTGTATTTTTATTGTCTACGTTTTGTTAATTAATTCATTTATTTTGTAGTTTCTAAAAATGTTAAAACTTTTAATAACAATGTATAATAATTATATTTGACGTATGAGATTAATTAATAATAATACACTAAGAGGATCACAACACTTTATTTATATATACATAACATTTTTCCCTTATGTTATATTTTTAGAAGTTTACTCTTTAGTTTATCCTAGTGGAATAGAGAATATGGTGAGTTTTTCAACATAACTTTTTCATCAATAAATTTATTAATTTTTTTTTTTTTTTTTTTTTTTTTTCATAATTGATTGTTTTATTTTTTCCTCGGTTTTATGGTAATGTTCAACGAACTTTACCTTTGCTTGTTAGTTATATTATTTATAGTGAAAGAATTCAAGAATACATTCGTTTCGTTAATTTAAACCAACAAAATTTCTTAGGATGAACTTTTCAGTTTATTTCTTCATTTCATATGTATTATTTCTGTTAAAAAATTGTACCACAATTTACAAATAATTCACGACACGTTTTCTCTTATCCCCTAGGCATGCCTGAAGATAAAGTAAATTCTGACTTCGAAACTAGTCGCAATAAACATATCACTGGACTTTTATTACTTTTCTTCGCCTATTTAAAAAGTCGACTCACCCCAGTATAATTATATTATTTAAATAATAATTTCATATGAGATAATGTTTGCTTTCTAGGCTGGCCCTTTACTATGCAAAGCACTGCACGATTTTCTGGTGAGATTACAAATGCGTTGTGATGTAGTGAGCCCAACCAGCAAACTTGGAAACCATTTAAAATCAACATTACTGAAGGTTACCTACCAACTAACGCAACCTTCAGGTTCAGTAGCTTGCCGATTAGGTCCATTGGATGCTCAGTGTAAACTGTTACAAACTATGCTTTATTTAGATTTCACTAATTCTGATTTAAGTATAGCCATGAGTACATTGGAGAGCACAGGTAAATTATATTTCAATAAATTTTTATCTCAAAAGTCATATTTACAGGCACTGAACTTTGTAAATGTTATATAATTTTAAAAACTTCTGTAAAAAATATTTGTTTTTAGCCGCTTTGGTTCACAGTTATGTGATAAATACTGAAAGAGTTAAATGCATAAGTATAGGAGAAAAACAAGGCGTAATGACAAGCACTTTCAGTGATATATTCGCAAGCGTTTTAGGTTCTGATTCAAATAAACAGGATAGACCAGTCTCATATGAAGATCTGTTGATACTTATGTTAAAATTGTTAGGAAAATTGGTTCAAACGCCGCTGCCCAATCAACAGGTAAGATAATTCATCAAATAGTTTTATGATGTGTATATAAATGGACATCTGAAGAAATCCTGACTTTATTTTATGATAATCTGAGATAGAATCCTTGTTTTGCCAACTTTTACAATAATCTAGTCTGAATTGACACAGATTTAAGAAAAAAGAATTAAGCCAGTCTTTAATAATTTGATTTTTGACTTTGGACGGCTGTAAATGTGTACGAGATGTGGCTGGAAAAAATTCGGATTAGTGCTATAAAATAGTCTGCTTTTTGTTAATAATTTTAACAATATCGCCATCAATATGTTTTTCCTCTACGATCCCTACACCACTCCATCTGCAAATTTTTCATTGACCATAGCAGAGCCGTTAATCATTAAAAAAAAAAAAACATGTTCATTCATGGTCTGTAACGCTTTTTCTTTGCTTTATTCCTGCAAATTCAGCAACAACCCAAATACTTGTGTTTTTTTGGATCAACGCACTTATTCAATGTTTGTGTCTGTTTTTGAGGTGCTTGTTCCTCCTAGGCGCGAATCGTTTTAGATCTCTTTTCGTCCCTTGTTGATTACTCTAAAACCCGAGCGTGTGGTAAACACTCCTCTTCATATTCTTCTTTCAATAAAGCATGCTTATCTGTGTATTATTTTCTGAGTTCAACAATGAATTTTACATTGACTCTTTGCTCTCCTTGAACACATGAAAAACATTAAATAAAAAGTATCGAAAAAAATTATTTTGTTTTAATATGGATGTATTGTTAATTTTCTTATTGCTTGCTTCTGTATAAAATTTCTATTAATTGTAAATCTAAATAACAAATCTACGATCATCATTAAGAATAAGACCCAGAACAATTAAAGATTATCTGTTGAAATGAAACATGCTTAGATAAAATATTACTCGTTTCCGAAATAAATAATAAATTTGAAAATTCAAAAATTGTGAATGGTTATATTTTTTTTTATTTTTCAGTATAATTTTATTAAAAATTTGGCAAATATTTCTGGTGTCATAAGATACATCTATCACCAAAAAAAAATCAGTTAAATAAACTTTGCCAGTGGTGTACAGCATGGATAAGTAACACATTTATCCCCTCTAAATTTTACGTCACTGTCCAAAAACTTATTTGGGCCATAATTTTAAATTTTTTGATATTTTTTGAATAAATAAATGGATGAATGGGGTATAACTACTAAATAAAAAATGCTTGTAAGAGCAATACTCTTATTTGACAGAAAAAACACGTTCAAGTTACATACATATCTGATACAAATCCCTACACCTGAAGTAGCAAAACCGGACGACAGACAATGCTTGCAAAGGAATTTTTTATTGTTATTATTGTCTAGAAGCAATATATTTCATTGCCAGGAAAACAAGAAAAAATCCACCGATAAGCAACTTTACTTTGAGTTTCACAGGTCATATGACCGCTCCCACCAACGGGTTATAGTTCATGTGGTTCATCCCCTCTCCTGTACCCAACTACACATAGCTAGGACGTGCCACTTTTTGCAGTCAGCTTATTTTTACTTTTTTCAACATATCTGGATTTGCCATCTAATCACAGAATTTTGTCCTGTTAACGCAGTTGACCGAGTCCAACCGTTTTGCGGCCGACATTGGCTGCAATTATTTATTAAAATATGAAGCTAATAGTCCACAGTATGTCCACCCCTGCTTTGCTTCATTACCATATATTTAAAACTTCGTGAGTGGCTTAAATTTTACGACTCAACCATACTTTGCCGCTGCGAAAATTCACGGAAACGCTACGTTACTCATAAGTGTTTGTGCAACCTCAACGTCAAATTCTCGAACCTTAAGACATAATTCTACGTCTTAGTTGGTCTCCGTTTTGAGCAGACCCTCCATTGTCGTACACTTTTCGTGACAATAGTGTCCAAAAATCTTCGATAGGGTGAACCTCGGGTAAGTTGGGAGGATAATCAATTTTCGGAACGTACGGAATATTCTGTTGTCTAAGCCAGTTTTGCGTTTATCTCGCATAATGACATGATGCCAAGTCGGGCCAAAACATTTCGTCAGCGGCATGATTCTCTTCAATAAAGTTGGCCAATTTTGTTAAACAGTTGTCAATATAGCGCCTGCTATCTAGTGCCTCGCCCCTAACATGACCAATATATGGCCTTGCAAAACCCTTTGAAGATATAGCACACCACACCAAAATTTTGTCATAAATTTTGCTTTTGCCATGAACCTTACATTGTCTAGACATTCTTCTTTTATGTTATCTGTCTAAAATCCATCGGTTTCCTTTTATTTCGGAGTTTTCCAAAGTAAAATACTTCATGGTATTCTGGCCAGCTGATTAGGGGTATACTTGGTACATATAAATATGTGGTAAGCAATCAAAGCAGGAGTGGACGTACTGTGGACTATAACTATTCTTAATATAATCCCAGGAAATTCATTCTTATTGCACGAGTCCATTTAGAATACAATACATATTCTATGAATTTTCAAAATAAACCAAAAAAAAATTTTGTAGGAAGCGATGGACACCGAAACGGCGGCTACTTCTCAAACAGACGAAAGTAAAGCAGAACAAATCCATCAAGAAAATGCTCGCGTTCAACCCTCGATACCTTGTTTCGCAGATGTCGTTCTCCAACACCATCCAACTGTCATTAGATTATGTCGCTGTTTGGCGGCATGTAAGTCATCTTCACTTTGTATGCTAGCTAATGTTTCACAAAAGGTAAAATTTGCGCCGATCTTGAACCGCTTTAACTAATTTAGAATGTATCTCGTTTTAGGTGGCATTTTCAACATTAAGCGAACCCAACACAGTCGGCGATGCTATCTTCCATCTGTTAGCTTTGCTGGCTAGAAAGGCTTCCAATAAAGATTTGTTACTAAGGCCGTTGCTAATGTTTCTATCGCAAGAACCCCAACTGAGTGAGCCTCTATTGTGGTTCATTTTACAAGTTCTTGATACTGAAGAAGCCATACAGAAGTTCTTTGATGCAGGTATAGTTTTAATAAACTTATTGTAACACACTATAACACGCTGTTTTTAAGGTGGTATATCAATATTGGGCAATAGCATAGTCAACAGCACAATATCTCCTAGTACTCTTTCAAAAATTGGAACTATTTCAACTGTAATGCAGCATTTTAGTGGGATAAATGCACCTACGGATCCCAAAACCATAGTGTCAGCAGCAACAACAACTTCTAAAAAATTAATGCAATCTTCACTAGAGAGTAAAATGTCTTTGATAAACTTTGCACCATATTGTACGATATCTTGTGAGTCCAGTACTGCACAATCGGCTGATGTTTTGATACAAGGCGTATCGGGATCCACGCATAGAAGAGCTAGAGCTCCTTTATGGTCTTATCACTTTTATCCAGAAGAAAACCACACGGAACTTATGCTCCAGTTGCCCAGCGCTATATTGCTAAGAGAAGTACAGTTACAACCACACGCAGGTAGTTTGGCCACCTCTCCATCTTATGTGTCCCTAGAAGTATCTGCGAATGGGCCATCTCGACTGTCACCTGTTTGTTTACCATTACCGACGAGTGGACTGACGTACATTCGTATGCATCTACCAGTGCCGAAAGTAGTAAATTGTGTACTCATAAGACTATATAAACCACGAGATGCCAGCAGTATTGGACTCATACAGATTCGCTTACTAGGAAGCTATGCTTTCGGTGGAAGTTTAATGCAAGGCTCAGATGCAGAGGATGAATCGCATTGCAAACATAGTCTAGGTTGGCTTAGATTACTCCATCACTGTTTCACTCTTGCATCAGATGCCGAGATGAAACGTCAAATTATAGATTGCGCTTCCAGAGTTCCGAACCTTTTAACTACTTGTTGCGGTTTGTTGTTGGTACCGTCGCATATTCTTCCCGTTTATTTGCCGTGTTTGGAAAAGGTGTTAAGAGAATTGGCTCTGCACAGTTCTGAAAACGGTTTTCATGCTATTAGAGTGCTGTTGGATAGCAGATCTGGAATCGAACCTCTCATGGTGTCAGATGTAAATTGGCAAGACAGATTGATTAATATATCTGGTTATCAGTCGGCGTGTGAATTGCTATATCAAATTTGTGAACATCAGGTAAATATTCAACAATTTTAAATTTTCGGACCTTCTGCCATGTTCCATAAGATTTTTTACCTTAGAAATTAGAATAGAAAACTATATAGAAAAATTAAAAATATACCTCTTTCTTCTTTTTTGGCTTAATAGTTATTTGTGTATCAAGGCTGTAAAAGTTGATCTTTTTTAACCGAATTAGGAAATTAAGCAACTTCTGAATAGGCAAAAAAAATTAATCAAAATACTTTTTAGGCGACTCTCATTAAGTAGGTCCAACATATTTTTTTACATGCATGTTCCTGAAGACTTAAATGCAAGAATAGTTTCATATGTTTATTGATCGTTTAAAAAACCTATTATGTAACAAAGTTTTATACAGAATTACTAATAATAGGTGTCCAGGAACGGATTTCCTTTTTAAAGAATAATAAAAAAAAGTACTTGAAATTTTAAAATTAATTTATTAATTCAAAAGTACACACAATATAGGCGGATTTTATATTTTAAAAATTATATTGTCAAGATGCCTTCCATTTTGGTCAAAACATCAGGGCCGACAAGAGGGGGGGGGGGGGTAGCCGGGACTAATTCCCGGGGCCCCGGCTCGAGTGGGGGCCCGACTGCTCTGGTGTGAGGACGTTTGTACCGTTGCACAAGATGGAGGACTAAAGAAGACGAGAAGTTTTAGCAGGAATACCTTTTTTTTAGAGGGCGAGAAGTTTTAGCTTGAAGACCCTTTTTTAGAGATTGTACTAAAGAGGACGAGAAGTTTTAGCTTGAAGCCCTTTTTTTATAGATTGTACTAAAGAGGACGATAAGTTTTAGCTTGAAGACCTTTTTTTTTTAGAGGTTTCACTAAAGCGGACAAGAAGTTGAGAAGTTTTTGCTTGAGAGAGCCAAAGTTTTTTGATAAAATTGTCGTGGGGCCCGACCTGACTATCGGCGGCCCTGCAAAACACTCCTGCAATGCCACCTTCATGTGGTTGAAAATAGATAAACACATCTCAGGTGGAATTTCTTCACTCGTTTTAATTCTTGCAAAGTCATAGGTCTATTAACATAAACTTTACTTTTGAGGTATACCCACAAAAAAAGTCCAATGGGGGTGAGATCGGGAGACCTAGTTAGCCAGTTTAGGTCTCCAAAGCAAGCAATGACCTTTTCCGGGAATAATTCTCGAACGACTTCCATAAACTCTGGCTGTATGTACGGTGGCTACATCTTGCTGAAAACATGTACTCTGATTAAATGCATCAAATTCTTGCAGCTGAGATTCCTTAAAGTCCCGAAGCATGGCACAATAAGTATTACTATTTACCATCTGGGCTATGCCGCGTCGTTTCTTAAAAAGTACTGACCGATAATTCCTGAAGCCGACATCGCACACCACACAGTTTTGGGCTATGTATGGGACCTTTCGTGTTTTTTGCCTTGGATTCTCTGATGCCCAATTCGCTCCGTGCGAAGTCATGGAAATGGAAGCAAAGGCGATACTAGCGCTAGCTGCGGATAATTCGTGCATTTTAGGGCGATATTTTGTAATTTTGGCATATCAAATACACGTATACACATTACTTTTTTTCAAAAAAGTAGGTAAAAACAATACAATAAGCAACCGGAGTTGCTGTGTTGAAAATTGTACAAATACTAGCAAAAAAACAGTGAAACTTATATAAAAAATTTCAGTAGCAAAGTGGAAATTAAATCAAAGAAATAAATGGATAGGTGTACGTACAATAAGAAGAAAAATTACCTTTATTTTTGTAATAATAACAGTAATGCTGAAAATAGTTTTACGATGTTCTTTAATATGATTTTATTCTTAAATGTTCATTCAGCAAGGACTAGATTTCATGATTTCTGCCTTTGATTATTATATGAAGCTGGAATGCAATTTTGTGACTTACTGATGGGAAACCAGTTTTAATCATTCATTCTGTTTTCTTTCGAACAAAAATGAAAATATAAATAACGATCCTTTTTTTTATACATTTTAATTTCATGCTATTATTAAATGGTATTTTTATTATTTTGACTGGATAGTCTAATTCTTCAATAACAACTTATTAGACTTAGGCAACTTCTCATACATTTTCCAGTAAATACTGTTGCCTGCCTTTATTTTATTATTGATTTTTATTGATTATACATAATTTTCTTTAATTTAAGCGATAAAAATACATAATAATAATAATAAATTAATGTTTGACTTGTTTTACAAATCTATATACTTTTATTAAAACTAACATATATACTTTTTAATTACAAATTCTGTTAAAAATTGTATTTGTCAGTATACGCAGAAATAGTTCATTAGTACCAAAACGAATTGGCGCTGCTGTCGCGCACGGAGCGAATAGCGACAATTTTGCTTACTAACTGCGCCTGAAAGGTGAAAGTGCACCTTGTCACTGAACAGGATATTGTTAATTCGGTCTATCATTGTTTCGGCGAAAGAACGACAATTTCTAAAGTCAGGGCACCATAATAATAAACAAAAATGTGAAGTTTCTATGAATGCAGCTTGACAATGTCTTCTGTTGTGACGTCCATGTCATTTCAGTAATAACAAAGCTGAAATCTGAATGTTATAAATTAAGAGTATTATCAAATTACTTGAAAAGAGAAACGATGAAAATAGTATACCATTCTGCCATTGAGTCCCACATTAGATATGTATGGTATTATATTTTATGGGTACAGCAGAGATTTAAATCAGGTGTTTAACTCGAAAGAAAGCATTGAGAATCGTAGGAAACTTAAAATTCAATGAATCTTGTAGATGGCAGTTTAGGAAGATTTAATTTACTTGCCTTTTATGGAATATTTATACAGGAGTGCTTGTTATTATACTTCTTTAATAATAGAAATAAATTTAAAATATTTGAACCCCATAATAAATATACCACAAGAAATCTGCTACAACTTACCCTACACATAGATTAACGCTAACTGAAAAAAGTGTAAGTTATAATGTCTTAAGATTTTATAATAAAATGCCTTCTTAAGTGAAGTTAATAGATAGTTTATCAGTGTTCAAAAAAAGGATTTTTAAAATTTTAATAACAATCAAGCCTTACTCTGTTAATGAATGTATAGAATACCAAATGTAAATGTCAGATAGCTGGAATATAATCTTTTTTTGGTGATGATTGTTCCACTAATTTTACACTATGTACAAGTATATTGTAACGTTTGTTTAATTTATTTAAAACATTTTATTTATAATTTATTTATAACGTACTAATTAATTTATATAATACTTAGGCACTAACTTACAATTCTAATTTATTTATTACAATTTTCCTTTACTATACTACACTTAATTTGAAACTTCCCGTCCATCGACAAACTCACGCTATTTATATAAAGCCAGCTCTGCACCAGAACACACTCGCTCATCCAGAACGTTCGGGAACTCCCGCTCTATGACTCAGACGCCACACGGCGATCTATTCGGTAGCTTCTCGAAGCAGTGCGTGCCGCGGGCAAAGAACAGAGTCGGCTTCGCGTCCACAATATGTATATATTGTAATTTTCTTGTACTAAAATATATTTATTATTATTAATTATTATTATTATTATTATTTGGGTTTAATTCTTGCATTTGGATCTTGTATGGATGAAACCTCAAATCTCTCCTCAAAATTGTGTGAAAAGATGATTTCGAATTCATACCACTTGTTATGTTTTACGAAGAGATCCACTTGGAATTCACATTATCGTGGCACGTACATCCTCAACATTCTCAGGAGAAGTTAAAGTCCTTGGACGACAACGAGGTTTTACATTTACAGCTGACGGTGTTTCTTTAAACCTCCTCACCCACGATTTGACCAAACTTTTACTTGGTGCACGCTCCACACGCCTACTATTGAAGTAAGCACAAAACCTTCGCTTTGCAATTGTGTACGAGTCGTTTCTCTTGAAGTATGCCTGAATAATGAACGCACAATGCACATCTGACTAACGCTCCATTTTTACTAAATAATCTGCATCGATCCACTATCGAACGACACTAACCCGAGCCCGCTACGTTACACTGTTGTCAAGTTATTCGAGTTTACAAAGGGAAATCCATTCCTGGACACCTTATAAACAGAAAGTGTGTAGTTGTAAACACTGGTTGAGTGATTCATTAAATTGCCAGAGTTGCCTAAACAACAATTTATTAAAAGAGTAAAAGGAGATCAAAGCACTTTACTTTTTTTACCTGTGTCTATTAGATGTACCTAATCCTTAGGTATATATGCTGACACCGAGAACGAATAATTTTAAGGAATTTGTAACTTTGGCATGCACAAAAATTATTTTAAAATATAAATAAAAATTATACAAAGATCGGTTGTTTGGTACCTTTTTTGGTTAGGCAACTCTGACAATTAACCGCTCAGTTTTGAAGCTATTAAAGAAGAATATATTAAAAATATGTCAGAATAAAAGGATATGTCTACTTATACCCTGAAAGAGAGAATATTGATTTCTAATGTCAACTCGACTTGTACCGTTTCCTTCAGACATTGAATTGTTCTTCTCCAATTAACCCACTTTCTTGATTTTATTAAATAGCAATATATTATTTGAATGACATATCAATTTCTTCAAACATATAAATCATTGTGTTCTATTCAAAATACAAAAAAAAAATATAAAACTATAACAGTTAAAATTGTTTTAAGTAAAAGTGGATAAATGAAAATATTGGTTTTAAGATATTCAATAAATGTGTTTCTTACGTGAATAACAACAGGATGAAGTAATGATAAGCACAACTCTGTTAATTATCATGCAGTTTTAATCAAACTATGCCATAATTTTTTGTTTTTCTCTGTGCAAATTATATTTAAAATAAACAATTAATTTGGTCAAATAGTTTTTCCACATTATTTTAAATAAAAAATAATACCTTTTTTAATTGTTATTTAAACAATTCCATTAAATCTAAGAAATTATTAAAAAAAATTAAAAATACTGCATTCAACAAACAATATAGAAACCAGAAACTTTAATTTTATAAAATTAATTTATTAATGTCAATATTTAATTCATTTATTGCAACTTGACAATACTTATATTTTTTATGGATTCTCACTTTTCCAATTATTAATGAATTTTTTATATGAAAAGACCATAAACAAATGATTGACGGTATCGTATAATAGTTATGTCAATGAATAAGGCAGATATAAGATTAAAAATCTTGATATTCAAGATAACACAATATTTCATTAAAAAAAAAAAATTGACCAAATTAATTGTTTATTTCACATAAAATTTGCATAAAAACCGCACAAAATTATGGCGTATGGGCTATCTTGATATTTACGTTAATATATTTAATAAAAAAAAAAAAATTGACCAAACAGTTATTTCACACATAATTGGCACAAAAATAGCATTTGTTTTATTAAAACCGCATGATGAATAACAGAGTTGTGCTATCTTGGGTTTAAACTAGAACAACTTTTAATTAAAAAAAGGTGAGGATAGGTTGTGCCAGGGTAGCCGTTTCCCCTGTAAATAGTTGGTAACAAGTTTGTTTGACCTCGACAGTAGCGCGCTGAGCGCGTTATGATGAACTATAATTCGGTACAGTCGGTAAAGTAGAAAACTACTAAGTAAAGCGATTTAAAAAATGGCGGGCTTCAAAATTGATGAAATTTGAAACAATTTCAAGTAACATTTTCCTATTTTACAGCGTTTACTTACAATAATTGAAAAATCAATAAGTAAAATGAATTTTTATTGTAAGTAAATGCTGAAAAACGGAAAATGTCACTTGTTTTAAAAAAAATTAAAAACATTTGTAATAAGTTTATTTTATTTAGAATAGTTAACTATGTCATTACATTATGTTAAACATCATATTCACGCATGTATAGAAATGATTTTAAAACAATATACAAAGACTAGTTGTTTTGAAATTTTGTTGGTTAGGCAACTCTGGCACTGAACCACTTTACTATCCTTTTACCCTTCTATTTTAATCCATTGTAGTTGTAATATCCATTCCAAAAAACTCCATACTCAGGAATAACTAAAACAAACAAAAAATAAAGGCGCAATGTGTATCTTAAAATTAAAAATTAACAGAGATATTACTTTTTTAAATTCTTAGAAATATCCTTATATTTTCTTATAATGAAAAGTAGGTACACAGATTTTAAATAATTTCAAAAAACATCTGATTTATGCTCTCGGCAACTGAACCATGCAAAATTAACATGTTCGTGTAAATATAAAATTAGTTTTTGAACAATGCGTTCTATATGTCCATATTTGGGTAGAATTTGATAAATACAATCATGAATAGTACCCAAAAATTGAACAATTGCTTTTAGCGCATAAATCAAACGTCTTTTTGCATCATATTCCTTTAAATATGTAAAACTATGATGAGGTTCTACAATATCTGTTCTTAAATTTCCCGAACGCACTTCGCAATCAATTCCATTCATTTTTTTTACTACAAATCCAGCTACATAAGTGATAGCCTGAATATCAAAGTCAGTATTATGAAGTGAATTGACACTGAATTGTGTAATTTTAAGGCTAGATAATTCATTTTCTTGGCCAGACAGTAGTGGTTGCGGTTCATCACTAAAAGTTAAAAATGAATTTAAATTGTCAACAAACCACTATCACCTGCCTCACAATTGGTGCTGTAATTTTTAGGTGTTATTAAACTATTTAAACAGATGTTTTCAAAGCCAAAGGCAAGGCAAATTTAATGAGCTTAGTAGGCAAAGTGCTGGTAAAGACATTCTCGTCAAAATGAGCCTCGCTCAATAGTTTTTTTTTTTAGATGTGTAGGGAATATTTAAAATATCAAACCATTTCTCTCTAAGGGTAAAAATTTCTTATTAAGTGTATGTAAATAATATTTATTTTGTTTCTGCAATATGGAGCAGCACATGATAATGTATTATAAGTTAATGACATCGTTAAGGACCTCAGTATATTTTTACACCCATAAATTACTTAAATCTAACTAAAATTAAATTAAAAATAAGAGTAATCAAATTTTACTCACATACATTTTCCGCGACTGTCATGTTTTAGTGTAACATAACCTAATTTATTAGCAAAGCCAGATTAACAATACCTCACAATATTCAAATTTAGCTTTAACTTTATAAATTTATAACAATTATCCCTGTAATTGATCATATATTGTATTAAAGTGATATTTAAAAGATTGCATTAGTAAAATTATTGATTTCTTTAAAATTTATTCATTTTTTTAATTATTATATGGGTGTAAAAACGGCTTTTATTTAGTGCTCGCAGCGCGTGATGTGCGATATGATAAACTACAAACAAGTAAACAATTCCCGCCTATTAATCAAACCTTTTGTTTTAGTTTTTCTATGGGTTGTGCTAAAATTGTTGTGGTTAATTATATATTTAAAAAATTTGACACACTATACCTCAAATATGAATGTTTTAAGACTCACTAAATTTGGTATTTTCATAACTATAGCTCAGCGACCTCTATTCAGGGTTAAGTGGTCGTTTCTTATAAAATTTCTTTATAATATTTTATCTCTTACAATGTAATAACTCTTAAATTTAAATTTCAGGATCCGCACACCTCCTATCGTGTACAAATAATATTAGAATGGTTAGAAACAACAACAAATGAAGCAGTATTAACGCAAAGCACCAATAGTTGTAATGCGGCATATTTTTCTAGTATAGCGTCAATTTTATGGACAGCCAACCAATCCCAAGTGCAGTACAACTTAAAATCTCTCATATCAGTAGAATTATTTAACTCCATATATACTTTGAAAACTCAAACAGAAAGTAACATTAGCCTTAAATATTCGTTAGATTCGTTACTTTGTTCTATTTGTTATATAATACCGGAATTTTTCCCGATTTTGTTGAAAAAAATCGGCGTATTGGTTCCTAATCTTTCTACCGGCCATGAAGCTTCCATTAGCGATGACAGAAAAGATTCAGAAGGTTTGACAGACGACAACAAGCGTGTGTACGAAGGTACTTCAGAATGGTACGGCCATTTAGTAATAGGAGAACTTTCTATCTTAAATTTAAGTAGAGAACAGTTAGAAACCATAGCATTAGTTAGCAGATCACCCACATCTATACAACAATTACTTGACTCAGGATTGCCTAAATTATTAAACAGTGCAATTTTGGAATTCTGTCAGTCTGAAAACGAATCAACGGTACCTATGGCCAAACTTGAAAATGTTACAAGCATTCTGCAGTTCTTTACTGACGTCAGCGATGAAAAAATGATGAGGGATTGGTTAGGTTCAGAAGATGGCTCATCGTTTTGGCTGCATCTACTCAAATGGCTATGCAAAAAAACCGTTACTAAAATAACGAATCTTCAGACTGAAGCTCATGTTCATTTAGAAGAAGTATGCGTGAAATTTTTGTCAAAATGTTGTTTGTGTCATGGTGCAAACCAAGCTAGATTAGCCAGAGTACTTTGTGACGTAATATATTTGCAATCTAACGGCATATCCGGGTTTATGCGAAGACTGATATTACAATTACTGCTGGAAAATGAAAAAATACCCGTGAGCATTGAAGCGGACGAAACGTTGTACAAGAGCGCCAAATTGATCCAAAGCTACATACCTTCACATCCGGCTTTTAAACAAACTTACAATCGCGCCATGTTATGTTTGAGTACCAACACCACCCTCCTTGAAATACTCGAGCAGCACATTTTTTTTAAAATGTCTTACAAATCAGAATTGTCGCTTAATAAAAAATCGAATTTCGCGGCGAAGAAAGACATATTCAAATCGTGGTTTGCGGCCGAAGAACAAGAAATGAGCATGGCCGCTGGGGTTACTGCCAAAGATAAACGTGCCAAAGACGCCAAGAACCAAATGACGGCTACGCCACAGTCGAAAAAGAAGAGGTACGCAACGAGCTCTATGAACACCACTGACGTGATCGAAGGGAGAATTATTAAATGTGAATCATTTTCCGATCAACCACTGCCACTCACGGTTAATCTCGGACAACTTCTAAGACTGATAGAGTCTAAAGGAACTACCACCGATTGGCCTTATATACATCTTAAGATCTACCAATGTAAAAGTAAGTAGAATTGAACTATTTAACATAATTATACAAAAACCATTGCACGTTATCTGTGACACTCATCATAGTACTACCAAATAATAATTATTAAAAATTAGTACTCAAAAAAACATACTTTACAATAAATAATTTTGTACGCTCATGAAACTCGTAGTTATAAAGAGGAAATATCAATTAATTGGTGACAAGAGTAGTTTCAAAAATTTAATATTTAGATCATAGTCCGCAGTACATACAGCACAAAAAAATCATTGTAAATGAATGATTTTCTCTACTTACACTAATTTAGACAAAGTTATAAAATTACAAAAAACACAATACTCAATCAAGTCGTTAACATAATAGCCCACAGTACGTCCATCCCTGATTTGCTTGATTACCACATATTTAAAACTTCATGTGTGGGTTCATTTTTACGAGTCTACCACAATTTTCATCTGCGAAAATTCACGGAAACGCTGCGTTTTCTACTCCACGACGGCTGAACATGTCGATTTTACTATGTAATATATGTAATACAATGACCACGTAATTATTTTGCAAGGCATTGAAAGATCCTTTAATAATAAACACGAAACAAGGCTAAACCACAGCTTATACAATACAGCTCCACAACTCCGTGTCGGCGTCTTTGATCTGGCGGTCGAGAACCAAGCAAGACGGAATGGTGCTATCTCTGTTAGATTCGAGGGAAAAGTCGGGCCCGGATTAAACAATTTTTTTATTATTGAAAAAATTGAAAACCTTGGCGTAATAAGGTTGGTTACATGCCATATTAAGTAAGTTTTGGGAAATTAAATTTTTAATTTGTTTTAAATCTGTCAAATATAATTAGAAACATTATTTAAATATAAATATTACGAAAAATAGCACATCTTTCGGATTAGAGGTAAAATAATTTGTATGTGGCTAGTAAAATCCTCGTTAACAAATGTTTTGAGCTAAAACAGTCACTTCACGACAAATTGTGGCTTGGATCCTTTTTACACCAAGGGCTTCAATTGTTAAAGAATTGTGTCACGCTCGTGGATGCAAATCAAGTGGTACCCCGTGTCTCTGGCAAGTGTTACTCTTCGCGCAAAGGGTTTATACCTAGATTAACGAATGCTTCGACTGAGGTCTGGGAACTCTATGGTATTTTGGAATTATAAAGAATTTGTGCTTTTATTTTAACAATATTGGTTATATTTAGATGTATTCTTATTAATTGAAATACAGATTTGTAGAAGTAATACTTTGACAGTTTTTATTAATATAATATATTCAATTTTTATCTGACCATACCGAAGTAGGGAATTTTGAAACTTTATAGTAATGTGAAATTTGAATTACAATATTACACGATATTACATAATTAGTACTTATTTTAGGTAGGTACTAAATTTGTACTTGGAGAAAGTAATATCGATTTTTACAAGAAAACTTGAAAAGTAAATTAATTTAGTTCCTATTTCTGATGTAAAACTTAAGTTTTGGTTTAAACCAAGAAAACAAATAAATTATAGTTTGTTCAACAAGGGTGGATATGATAGCAATATCACACAAAGACGAAGTTTGAGCACGACGTCGTATGCGGAGTACTCAATCGTCTGATTGTGATATGAACAATCCACTCGATATGGTCAGTATATTTTTTCTACGACCCACTAACGAAAATCTACAAATTTAAAAAATTATTTTAGGTTATTTAGACAAAATAACTAATTTTAAAATAATTTACGAAGTTGACTAATTTATAAAATAAAATTAACATGAAAAATTAATTAGTCCTCGGCCTAGATTCGATCCCGGGCTTTTCGCGTGGAAGGCAGATGCTCTGTCCTCTTCTTCACTGAAACTTTCAGGACTTCAGTTTTAATACTCGTAATTAAATTAGTATCATGTAGTTTGATTAAAATTTATTTTTTTTAAATGTGGACACAATAAAAACAAAAATGCTATTATTTATCGAGTCTACACAAAAATTTTAATGTATATTTAATATCAATAACTAAAATATATATTGACAATTAGTTTAACAGAATTGTCACTTATTTAAAAAAATTTAAATAATAGGAGTTGGGTGACCAAAATATGAACTGTGATTTGTAGATTTAATTTTGTTAAAGTGTTCTCACTACCTAAAATGGATATGAAATATATTCGTAGTTGAACGCAATAACATACTTTTTCGTTTTGTAGTATGTGCATAGATTGGCTAATATCCATGCACAGATTACAAAACGAAAAAGTATGCTATTGCCTTCAATTGAACGAATATATTTCATATCCATTCTAGGTAGTGAGAACACTGCAAAAAAAAATAAATTCGCCAATCACCTTTCATATTTTGATCAACCGACTGCTATTATTTTTAAAATTTTAAATAAATGACAATTCTGTCAAACTAATTGTCAGTATATTTTTTAGTTATTGAGATTAAACATATAATAAAATAAGTTATTCTTTTGGAAAACGTTAGCATGGATGACTAAAGGGTATTGGGTTAATTAATTCTAAAAGTGTGGTACAAATGTTATTTTTTGTAGCCAATTCTTCAAAATTATTTTGAAATATCTTTTCAATATTGAATATTAGTTCTACAAATTCATCATTTGACAGTTGCAGATTTCCAAATGTATCTGGATTGGCGTTATCATATGCCTTTAAAAAGCAATAAAAAGAAAAATCATCTAATTCAACGTGATCTTTGTTATATTTAAGACAGGTATCGCAGAGGAGTGGATCCGCAAGGCTTTTATTAAAAGGTAACCACACACATACCTGATAAAATTTTTCTGTATAAATTCGTCTTTACAATAATTTAGGGTGTTAATAATTTTATCATAAAATAAAATACAAGGTGTTCCATTTAAAAAACATACATTTTAATTTGCCAGGCAAAAACGTGACACCCTGTATATCCAAAGATATTTTTAGAATATGTAGGTATTTTTCAAATCCATATAACTTTTATTAAAAACTTTCTTGCGTGTCTACAACAAAATAATGAACAATAACGCACTAATGGGATACCCTGTATAAATTATATTTTTAACAATGAAAATTTCTTATAATGTGGTACTTATCGGTTTGGGTCCTTGGGAAAACTAAAGAATGTTTTCTTGCAGGTATAACCCTTATTAAAACAGCTTTTGACTGCACTAACAGAATGATGTCTTTTTTTTTTCACTCATTCTACTCATAGCTAAAGAGTCACCAAAATAATAACAGTACCTTTAACTCAAACAAAATCAAAGAAATTATAGGCTCCACGAAATTATACAATCAACGAAATTATACGCACGACTCAACACCTTACCTAAGTACGCTTCTGAACACCAAAACCGTCTTTTCCCTTCGAAGGCGGAGCTTAAGCGATGCGCGACGAAATCGACGCAAACCGTTGCCGCCAAGAGAGTGTTTTAGCTGTATTGTATAAGCTGTGGCTAAACCGTCAGAATTAATCCGGCGATCGATGAGTCAACCAGCTGCAACATGTCAAAATAAGGAGGTTATGCTTTCTAAATACCACAATTAATTTTGGCAGAATAGTTTAAGGGCATTGTTACTTTTTTCTAGACAGTACATTTCTAATTTTCATTTTCATTTGTTAACATGTAACGCAGTGAAACCGACGTGAAGATATATTTTAGTTGAATAGATTAAAAGTTGACAAATTCGTTATTTACATGAACGTTGCTTGCTGATGTGCTGCAATCAACTGGTCTATTCGAATATTGCTTGGGACCGATGACAGTTGACGAGCTGGTTACTCTCAAGAACGTCGCTTTGTCAAATGCTGTAATTAACTGGTCTATTAGGGCCGCCTATTAGAGGGTATTTCTCTGTTTTCACTGGCCGACGTATTTAAAGATTCTTCAGCTATGTATGCTGTTTTTTAAATTTTCGGTACGATTTACGCAAGTTAAGTTCACTTTAAATTGGTTTTAAATTTTCATATTTTATTACGAACAATTTGATGGGTTGCACAAAATTGATCGAAAAGAAAATTGATCAAGAATAGATTTGAGAGAAAAAGCAATTGATCGAAAAACCAAATATACATTAAACTAGAAAAACTAAAAAAACTTAATTTAGCTAACCAGTGCGAGAACAATGAGATAAATTTAAATGACTTCAGGCCGGACAGGTTAGGTAAATTGGTTAAGAATTTTTGATTTTCTCATTTAAGTATATATTTTTTTTGCGAAGCAGCCCTCGACGGGCTCAGGCCGCACAGGTTAGATAAATTTATTGAGTTTTTATAAAAAACTTAATTTAGTAAAATTTAAATGGCTCCAGGTCGCACAGTTAAGTTATTTTTATTTTTCTTATTTTTGTTTTTTTTTTTTTTACTATTTTTAAAGTTGATTTTCGTTATACTGTCCTTTTGATGTAATGAATTTTATTTCTATTGTCCTTTCGATAAAATATATATTCAATCAAATGTTATTCGATAAAATGTATTTTTGATCAAATTTCCAATTCGGTCAAATGTTTTTCGATTAGTTTTTTGCCACCCCAATTTGATACCGCATGATAAATAGGTAGGTACTTTAATTTATCCCTATTAGGGCCAATTTCATAATTGAACCATAAAAGTAGATTTAAAAAAAGGAAGCTTCTATTTAAAGTTCACTTTAAAGCCTCCTTTAAAAAATGCCATTTCATAATGGTTTTCCTAATGTACTTTTACTAAAACGTACTTTAACAAAATTTTACCATGTTGGTATTGCCGATCTGTGTTTAATTCAAACATTAACCTGAATATTAGTCACAAAAATGTTAAGTTTCCTAAAAAATGTTTTGTTAAATAATAGATATCATGTAAGCTCTTCGGGTTTTTCCAAAGTAGATGAAAAAGAAATTGAACGTTTTGAAATTTAATTATTCTAGGAATTAATATTTGCAATGTAGGACACAGGAAGCAGGGTAATGCTATGGGTAATCCTATTAACAATTGTAAGAACCCTTTTATCGAAAGTACTAACCTCAGAGTACCTATATGTAATTAC